ATTACGGGGGGGACTGGTTGGTGCTTCTATGTCCTAGAGCATCCCTGGGCATCCTGCCCCTCCTCCAGAGAGGCCCAGAGGGGTCTTCCCTCACTGCCTTTCAGCCAACGTTCTGTACCTGTCCTTGGCCACAAGATGTCACCCAAGGAGCAGCATAGCAGGCGCCTGGGTGGAAACTGGCGAGCCCAGAAGTCAACCCAGGGAACAGCACATTCCAGCCACTGGCCCTCTCGGGCCCCGTGACCTCGGGGAAGCCTCGGGGGAAGTCTGCACCGACGGAGCATGCGACGGAGGATTCAGATCCCGGGGTTTCCTGCAGAACACGACACTGCTGCCCCGAGAGGACCCCGGGTTGTAGACCCCGCCTAAATTAATAAATAAATAGGGATAATCGTCCCTGCTTCACAGAGTGGGATTACACGGTGCCTGAGGACGCACGGGGGTAGGCGGGGCGAACAGCCAACCACAGTCGGGCGTGATTCCGGGCTACCAAAGAGGCAGGAGCGCAAGGGGGCGCCTGAGACCCCCCTCACCTCTGCCTGCCTGACAAGAGGTGAGGAGGAGACACCCGAGAGGCGACACTGGCATGCCCTCTGCCCCTGGGGCGGCCCCCAGATGGCCCAGCAGGGCCCATACCAATTCTTTGCGTGGCTGCCGCCAGGTGCCTGGATCTGGACCAGGCGAAGAGGCGGAGGAAGGGCATGGCCCGGCCCCGGCGCCCCCGGGCACCCCGAGCGGACACGCGCGAGGCGCGCACAGCTGGAGCGGCACCGGGCGGCCCGCAGTCCGGAGGCTGATGACCCCGCGCCCGGCCCCTGGCGCAGTGGAGCGGTCGAGGCCGGGCCTAGTGCCCTGATGTCTCCAGACGAGGACCGGCTGGAGCCGGAGAACCCGGGCGTGCTGGGCCCCCAGCCTGACCCTCCGGGACCCGCAGACCCAGGCCGGAGCCCCGGAGGCCCGAGCGCGCGGCCAAGCTCCTCGCGCACCGGGACTTGGCTCGGCTGCGCCGGCACTGCGCTGGGTGCCGGGTGCCGGGCTCCTCATCCGTCCCTCCACCAACTCCGGCCTTGGGAGGGGCGACCCCGGTGACCCGGCCTCTCCCGCCCCGGGCACACACGGCGAGCGGCGGGGCTGGGGCTGCGAGGAGCCTCCATCCACCTACGTCTACCCCGGGGAGACCACGGGCTTGGGGCGGTGTCTTCCCCGGCCCCGCACCACGTGAAGGTGGAGAAGGGAGACCCCTGTCCAGGCAGGGGCCGCATTTGGGAGAAAAAGATAGTGGAATCCCCGCAATGGGGGCTACTGTCTGCGCTCTCATCCGCCCCCAAGTACGGACATTTGGGGACGTCTGCTATTTGGGGTCGGAAGGTGCCCAAGGAAAGCGCAGGTTGCAGGGAGCTCACTACTTTGCAGGAAGCGTCAGGGGATGAGGCCGCGTTGGGGAGGCTGGGGGTATCTGGGGAGTCTTCCTCCTGGAAGGGCCATTTGAGGCTGGAGGAGCCGTGAGGGAGAGGAGTCAGCAAGGGCAAAGGCTTAGAGGTAGGCAAAGCACACACTTTGGGGGTAAAGGGGAGAGTTTTGAGGGCAGAGTGGAGCTGGAGGGGAAGGAGAAGGGACAGAGACATAAGGCTGAAAAGCAGGTTGGAACCGAAATAGAAGAGAGATTTTTTAGGCCGAAGAGGAACCTGATGATACTTGATAACTGTAAGGGCATCTAGGAGAAGAGGTGAGAGGGAGGCATGGGAACCAGTCAGGAGCCTCTGTGATAACAGAGGAGGGAAAAAGCCATGGTGGTGGAGGCACATGCAAGAGCTGTTTTCTTCAGGAGGTTTGCGTGATCCGGGGACTGAGGGCAGTGGAGAAGAATACGACAGGCTCGAAGGATGGCGCAGGGCATGGAAGCACCCAAATCCGGAAAGGTGTGGAGGAAGTTTCAGCAATTGTTTCACTGTAGTTAGTATTCATGAGCACGGCCGACTAGAACTAAAGCTCACAAGAGAGCCTTTCAGCTAAAATGGGTTGAGTGATTGCTACGCTCACAGGTGTCCACGTGTCCCTGGAACGTCTAGAGGCATAGCCAGCGCTCCCCCTCTTCCGGTGACCGCGCTGTGGCTGATGTGGGAGAGGAGCGCCCCTCCAGGATTACCTGGCCTGCCTTGTCACTCACAGTATAAGTCCTGCTTCAAGTTCATTAAACCAGGTCAGAAAGGAGCTTAGTGCCTACATTTGTGTTCACGTGCTCTCAAATCCTCCCGAGTCAGCTCGGTGGGCAGCGTCTTCTATCAGGGGTTCTGAACACCCACGGTACTTCTGGCAACCTCCAGTGTCACAGCACTGTAGCCCTATCCCCCAGGTAAATGCTGGCATGGGGAAAATATTTCAAGATTGTATATATGTGTATATATATATTTATATATATAACAAAACCAGAGACTGGATGTCCAGGATCTTTGAGGTAATACAGCCCAACTCAGGAAAAGCCCTTCAAAGGAGTTGTCACTTCAAAGGTCTGGTTAGTGGCAGAGCTAGGATTAGAACCGTCTGCAGGCCCCTGGACCTGGCATCACAACCATACACCACTTGAAACTCGGGGCTTTTCATAAGTTTCAAGAGAGATCCAGAAAAGGAAAACTTCTTAGGCTCACTGATGTGGTCCAGCTGTGCTGGGGAGGAGGTGATGGTGGGCATCACTGATGACACCGCGCTAGTAGGACGGCCCTCAGCACCTTCCCTTCCTATCATGCTACTTTTTTAGGCACTCGCCTCCTTTCGCCTTCCTCTCCACCAGGGCTGGCTCGCTCCCAGCTTGCTACACCTAAGCTGCAGCAGACATGGCCTCACCTGTCACCATCACAGCCACCAGAGAAGGAAAACAAGGTTGCTGGTGATCAAGAAGTGAGGTGGGTGAGAGGGAGGTAAATAAATCCAGGAGTTGGAATCCACCTATCGACCGAGGGGACCAGAAATAGGAGAGGGGAAGCGCACTGCTGGAGGTTGTCACCTTCCGCAGGGGCAGGCCAGGCTGCTCTGTGGGAGAAGTCAAGTTGGAGACCAGGGGCTGCTGGAACCAATGCTGGTTTACATGGGACACTGGTGACCAATGGAAACAAAACACAACAGAAATGGAACAGCCATTTTAAAAGTTAAAACAAGGAAGATTAGATAAAATTTTTTCATACAGAGATTTGGACACCATCATCACCTGGAGATGTATGGCAATTTGAGGTGTGGGGAAGAGACAGCTTTGACAGAACCAGATTAAGAGTAAAGACAACACTTGGATTTAAGCAAATAAAAAAAGCTATCATTAAAGGATAAATTGGACTGGCTGCCGGTAAGAGCTCTTAGCCTTCAAAGGGCCTCGCTCACTCACGCCTGTTACACTTCAGGATGCGGGGCCTTTAGAGACTGAACACCTTCCATGGATTGTAGTGAGTATCGGAGTCAGACGGGGAGCTTGCTGGGAATGCAGACTCCAGCTCCTCCCCAGAAATTCTGATTCAACAGGTACAGGAGGGGATCAGGAGCCTGCGGGTTATGAACATCCCCAGGTGGACGGTGCAGGTGGGCCACTGCTTCATACTTTGTGAATGCTGGCCGTCATGGTGCCTCTCGAAATCCTCAGAATAAGTCACCTGGAGGAATTGTTTAAAGGTTCCCGGTTCCATCCCCTGTGGATTCTGATTTAGCAACACAAGTACCTGGTGATTCTCAACAGGGACGTTTGGGAAACGATGGTTTATAGAACTCCCCAGGGTGCTTAAAAAGGACCAGTTTTGGGCACCACTCCCAGAGATTATAATTCATTTGGTCAAAGTGACTCAGATCAGATCCCTTGACTGAATTCACCAGGAATTATTGATATGAAACATCAGCAGTTATGTATATGAATCAAGAGCCCTGGTTACAAAAGTTTTGTCAAAACTTTGATTTAGGAGGGCTAAGGAACGCTGAAGTGGAAATATCCTTTTTAAAAAATTCATTGGAAACTCTTTTCATGGGAGCATAAAATTTAATGTTTTGGACCAGCAATAGCTGAATTTTTAGTTAATAGAAATAAGATTACCATGGTTTTCATGTTCATTGTCTATAATGGGTTCAATGACTTGAAACTGAGAGATATTTCTGTTTTAGCAAAAATATGGATGGTGTTTTCTGGATCCCCACAACCAGAGATTTTCCAGCCTCTTTGGTTAATTTTTTAAGTCTATGTACTGCCTTTTGGCACCCTAAGAAGATGGAAAAGGATTCTTCTGGAATGAAATGACTGAAGTGAAAAGCTCTTCAATGAATACTTAAATCTCTAGGTGGAGGACACAGCTACAGCCAACAGGAGCTCCTGACCTCATTTCACTTTTCAGGATCATGGCACTGCACTAGCTAAACACTGGCACTAACTCCACATCCTCTGAGAAAAGCTACACAGCCGCTGACTCAGAGAGAGGGCTGAGTGGGTACAAATACAACAGGAGTCCAGGAGGCATAAGTAATCCAAGTTGGCAGGAAAAGTTGAATTCCATTTTCAGTTCTAGGCGTCACAGCATTAATTTTAATACTGAACAGATTGAATAAAAACTCAGCTTTAATTGAATTTTTAAAAGTTTTCTCCTAAACGAAGGGCAATCGATATAGGGAAAGCATGAGGGAAGCCTGAGAGAGGCTGCCTCTTCAACAAGGGCTCTGCTCAGCTGAGAAGATCCAGCAGGGCTTCAGTGAAGACCGTGATTAGGACCTCTGCTCTCAGCGCTAAGGCTGGTGAACAGCCGCCAAATACAGGGGTCAGACAGGAACTGGGTACAACAGACAATGTTCGCCGCCTCGTTAGTAACTGTGAGATGATTCCAATTCCTTCCTGTTCCACGCTTAACAAATATCCTTAGATGTTCAGATGAAAAAGACAAGTGTGAATTCAGTGGAGAACATTAGTAATATTCGAGAAGTCAAAGAAACTTCAGAAATGCTTCTGCAGACAAAATAGATGATGGAAACATAAAACCCAGTGAATTCAACTGCTCTCCCTTTTTAATCAGGTTTACAGAATGGCATCATACATTAGTAATCACATTAGGAGACAGGATGGGTTTCCTGTACATATACAAGATTGTGCAAGCTCGTTAACTGAGGCTTATATAAGGTTTTACCAGTTTCAAGAGGAGAGGCAGTACAAAGCTTTTTAATACAGGTGAAGCACAAGAAGAATACGGTTGACAAGACAATATCAACTCAGCAGAGGTGAATTCTTAAGGCGTGTGGCCCCTGCCCACACTGTCTGCCACTCATCAAGCGGAGAGGACTTGGTCTCTCGTGAATTTAACCTTTGCTGAGCACAGGCATGTGGGACACAGCGCTCCATGGTGACTCCATGGCTCGACACACCAACTTGGACACTGAAACAAACTGAATCTTCCTTTCTCCAAGTGTTCTCAAGACTAATAAAGCTATTCCTGGTCCTCCTACTTCTTGGGTAACCTACATTCTAAAATACATTAAGTAATTATTAATCTGGCAAAGTTCTCAAGCATTTTGGCATTCGAAATATCTCAAATATCTCATCACTGTTAATCTACTTACTAAAAATTCTTTGAGCTTCAAGAAGATTGTTTCTGATTTTTGCCCCCCAGATTACGGCAATTACATATAGAATAAACTCATTAGACTTAAAAAAAAAAAAAAAAAAAAGAGGGCCAATATAGACTTTTCCCTAAAGAAATAAAGCAGAAACGGGGAGGCAGGGAGAGAAGGCGTAGGGCACACAATGGAGGAAGCCAACTCCACTGCTTGTCTATCATTTTATGCAATCCACTAATAATTTTGAGCAAGTGTGCTCCTATTTTCCTTTTTTATACCCAATCGCATCAGAGAAAGGAATTTTTAAAACCTCGTCCATTTAAAACATCTAGTTGACATTTACTTGGCCCAAACTGGAATGAATTCCCATGGCAGGCAACAGGAAGCGGGGCCGGATTGGCACGGTCAGCTGCAGTCTCATGGCAGGAACACAGCCCCTTCCTGCGTGGGCCGGCTCTCCTGCTTATGCACCTCAGGAACACACACAGTGACAGCCTACATTAAACAGGCTTCCAGGACACGACGGGCAAAGAAAAAACGTGCATCACATCCATCTCCATCCCTCACGAAGCCTAATTCTCTTACTGTAGCGATTTAACACATATCTGTAGAAAAAAGGATTTCATAAGCAGGTTTTTAAAAAGAAAAAGTAGAAGAAAGCAGTAACTGTGGCTGAGATTTGACCTAAAGTGGAGGAAAAAAACTAAACATTTACCAGCCTTTTAATAATTTTACAAGATGATCTTCAATCTGTATTTCTATTACTTAACTGTCTCCGAATCAGACTATTCATACCAAATACAAACGGATTTTTCATTACAGAAGTTAATACTACAAGATTTCAGTGAACTAAGCCACTATCTCCCCACTTAACATTATCTTTGTAAAGTCCATGTAATAATCGGTGGCTGCCGAATGCTTCCTACGGGTGATTTTGTACTTTAATGCTGATCCTTCATGTAAAATAAGTACTGGAAGGAAGCGTAGTAAGAAATATCCAAAGAACAACTGTTCCTCTTTCCTGAAAGAGCAAAATCAAATTACTCCCTATCTCCCACCCCAGAGCTTCCAGGCAGACGGTTACCAATTCCTAAACTCAGAACTCAGCACTATAATAAATCCTGTTATGGAGTCAAGCCAGCAATGGCTACTGCAGAAGTCCCTGCTCCTGACAGGGTTTCCAGAGGGCAATAGCTGGGCTGTGCTTCCCCGGCAGCACCCGAGTCAAGACGCGAGCACTCGCCTCCGTCTCAGAGGTTTCACTCTGATGCCAATCCCTGGGCTTCCACCCTCACCACTGGCTCAAGCACTGAAGAACGCTCTCTCCTGCCTCCAGCGTAGCCCTACACCCCAAACTCACCACCTTCCCCTCCACAGAAAAGAGCCCTCTGCAGTGCCTGCATCTTCGTATTTATTTCCATAGTGATAACATGGAAGATTTAGCAACCACTGTGGAGAAAAAAAGTCTCACTGACTTGTAAGTTAAATCCCTTAACAAGGGATCTCAACCATTCCAAGTCTTCTATTGACTTAACATTTATTGAATCAGATGCTGAAGTAAATGGACTCCCTCTAGGTCTTAGAACCGTGTTAGACAGTTTGTCTCGTAAAGTATTCATAACGGGATTTGACTTCTAACACCTAGGCGAGTTTGACAGTTACAGCCCATGAAGCACATGGCTCTGAACACAGATTTCTTGATCTGATGTTCAAAAGGACATTTTGTAGCACTAGTTTAATTTAAATCTCTCCTTAAAAGGCAGAAACCACATCCCACACTCCTATGCAACTTATTTCGGTATTTTAAAATCAATGAATGAGAAGAGGCGGAGGCATAAAGAAAATCGAGCTTCTTTAGGCACAAGGAAACACAGACATCTTGGAGAGAGGGAGAAGACTGCCTCTGTACTCATCTGCTCAAGGCTGTTTGTCACAGTTCCCTTAAAAATGCCTGGAAGTGCTGTCAGCAAGAAGGGACTCAAAGTATGGGACCAAGTTTGTTATAAAAGAAGTTAAACATTTTTAAGAAACATACAAAGTGAAACCAGTCAGTGACGACCTATGTACAAGACTTGTGCTTGACGCTTTGGTGTGCCTCCTTGGCCAATTTCTCACACACCAAAACCCAGTCCTGATTAATTATCAATATACAATCAAACCAAAATACTGAAAGACAGATTTTTGTTCAGAAGAGGGAAATAAAGGCACAGAAACCTGCCAAAATAGATTTTTTTCCATAAGAGAATGGTTGATTAAAATAGTTTATCACTAGTAAAACTCGTATCACTAGAGCAGACAATACAAATTAGTTTTAAAAAAAATGACATTCACTGAATTCCTGGTCTGTGCATTCAATGTGAATAATCATCAAAAATATATTACAATTAAAGGTTTGTAAGGAGTTCTGTTTGGGGTTTCTACACTATATTTAGTATTTCAAATGGGAAGTACCATAAGAACGTATCAGAGATCTACTGGATGGCGATCAGGTCTGTCTCCCGCGGCAGGTCCGGAGCCATCCACGGTGAGATGCCTCAGTGACTGCGCGTCTTCAGACCCCTCATCGAAGGCAGCCCTGTGCACCAAACTCCGCACCTACACAGTTCGATAAACTGTATGACACTTTAATAAATATTTCTGTGTATTTGCTTGTTTTTTGCTTTTAAGCTCAGCTTAAATTTTGTCAAGGAAACCATTTTACAAGAGGGTACGTCACAACCTACTATCAGCAATATTCCTTGTTTATTAGAATCTGAAGATGTCCATATTACATCAAATATAAATATATATTATATTTACATTTCCTTCTTAGCTTTTCAATTTAGATGAGTGTATTTATAGATAATGCCACTAACGTCACCACTATTATAATCCTCAGTGCAACTGCTATTTTCCTTCCATTAGATGCATATAAGATTAGACAGCATCTTAAAAGAGGTGTACTGTTCTTCTTTTAAAATAAAAGGAAAGGATGGGTATCCAAGAATGGAGATCTAGGAATTTTCTAGATTTTCTTTTGTTTTTTAATATTTCAAAATACCTTAAAAATGTGGTCCCTTTGTGCAGTACTATTCTCTACTTGGGGACAAGAAAATAACAAATATGCAACTCAGAAAGGAAAAGAGCCCAAAGAAAAGAGAACCTGCTTGTTAGCTCATTAATCTGTTTAGTAAAGATCTGTTTTAAAATGTCTGACTGCTGTACAATATTATACAAAAACCATCTTCAGCCTTCAAAGCAGCTGGCACATTGTTTAAGAGCTCTGCTGGCCGCCTCACAGTCTGCTGCCTTGCTGGGCCCTGGTCATGGTCACTTGCGGTCGTCGATAGTTTTGATGAACTCCACTGCTGCTGTGAACTGCATCCACCAATAGGACTCCTCTCCAGACAGACAGCTGGCGTAAAAGCTACTGATGTACTGAACAGTGGACAGCAAGCAGGGTGGATTAGCCTAGAGAAGTGAAAAATAAAAAAAGAGTCAGTTACTCAGATGTATAGCTCTGCAAAAACCATTTAACAGCTTCAAATGTTTTTCTGTGAAAGAGATACCAGTCCTTTTGAAAATAATCCCCAAATTCTTTTTTGGAAGTAGTTTGTAAACCCTAGCTGCTGTGAGTAGCAAGAGTATATTGGAAAGGCACCCTGGACTCTAACCCTAGCTGAACTATCTGGAGCTTTCTATCCTTGCAAGTCACTTAACCTCACTGGTCCTTAAGCAGGCTGAACTAATCCCAGTGGATTTACTCAACATCCCAGGATTCCAAAACATTAGATAAGAAAATAAATGCTGTAGGTAAATTGAGCTATATCTGGTTAGTAAGTCCAGGTAGAATCAATCAGCTGAGAAAGAAAAAACTAAAAAAGATAATATGCCCTCTGTTGTAAGAGATAACACAGAACACCTCCTGCTTTCCACCTTCTTCCTGTGGTGAGAAAGGACACAGGTGTGTTAAGTGGGGAGGAGGACAAGCTACGGTCTGTTGGAACTGTTAAACTGACTGTGTAAGGACTGGGTACATCATGCGTGGAAGAGAGAACAATGGCCAACAGGAGGACTTATGACCATAGGCCCTGATCCTATGGGTTCTGACTGAGCTAAGAGTTCAGGTTGCAGAAATATTGCCGATTACTAATATTTATGTCAAATATACTTTGGACATCCAGAAATGGGCCGAGCTGATTGGAACACAGGACAGACACAATTACTTGCTGGCTGTGTGCACCTAAACTGCATGGTCCCCTCAAGATGTTCAAAATAGGGGGCCGGCCCCGTGGCCGAGTGGTTAAGTTCGCGAGCTCGGCTTCAGTGGTCCAGGGTTTTGCCGGTTCAGATCCTGGGCAACGACATGGCACCACTCATCAGGCCATGTTGAGGTGGCATCCCACACAGCACAACCAGAGGTGCTCACAACTAGAATACAAAACTATGTACTGGGGGGCTTTGGTGAGAAAAAAGAAGGAAAAAAAAAGATTGGCAACAGTTGTTAGCTCAAGTGTGAATCTTTAAAAGAAAAAATGTTCAAAATAAACCATTTAAATGATGAAACTTTAATTTTAAAGTCAAGAAAGGACATGAGATGTCAGTTCTTTTAAAAAATAATACGATACAGCCCTGATGGCCCAGCAGTTAAAGTTCTGTGTACTCCACTTCAGCGGCCCTGGTTTGGTTCCTGGGTGCAAAACCACACCACTCGTCCGTCAGTAGCCATGCTGTGGCAGCAGCTCACACAGAAGATCCAGAAGAACTTACAACTATACACAATTATGTACCAGGGCTTTGGGAGTGACAAAAGGGAGAAAAAGGAGGAAGACTGGGAACAGATGTTGGCTCAGGGAGAATCTTCTACAAAAAAAAAAAAGGTACAATTACAAAATAAGAGGCTAAAAGAGGAGAGAGACGTTTGGTAAATTTGGTAGTTTATATGACGAGTACTATGAGGAATTCAAAGTGAAAGGAAATGGTAAAAGCACAATAAAAAGAATTTGCTCTCATTCATGCATCCATTCATTCAATAATTATATACTGAGTCCCAATCAAGAACTTTAGGCACTGCTTGAAAAGCTGAACATGTTCATCTAGGAATCCAGCCCCCTCATCCTTTCTTCTGAAAACCCTAACTTCCTTTTTTTTTTTGATTTTTAAAAACTTATTTATTTACTTTGAGGAAGATTAGCCCTGAGCTAACATCTGCTGCCAATCCTCCTCTTTCTGCTAAGGAACACTGGCCCTGAGCTAACATCCATGCCCATCTTCCTCTACTTTATATGTGGGATGCCTGCCACAGCATGGCTTGCCAAGTGGTACGTAGGTCTGCACCCGGGATCCAAACCCGTGAACCCCGGGCCGCTGAATAAAACATGCGAACTTAACTGCTGCGCCACTGGGCCGCCCGCCACTAACTTCTGAACAGAACAAAACCTGGCATTAAACACTTTCTTTCTGGATAACAAAGAGCTTGAGACTCATTAAGGAGCTGAGGTCTCTAACATCATGTGAAGCCCTGCACCACCCTGCTCAGAATGCCAAATAAACTCATTAATAGTAGTGAGGGACCCACCTTGATCAACACAAACACCAAAACTGGGACAAAGTCATCTGCGCCAGGGACGGAGTCCTCGTTGGCCAGGCTCAGGAGGTTCATGATCGTGGAGCACATTCTCAGGATGCACTGCACTTTGTCCCGGGGTGTCTTATAAGCACTTATTGTCCTGATTTCTGACTGTGCAGATGGCCACGGCGCCTCCCGAAGATAAACCTAAGGGAGACCACAGATAGACAGATCCTGAATCTGACGGCAACTTCAGTTACGACCTCAGCAACCTCCACGTCAGGAGGCAGAGGGGTACGATTGGTGCCTTTGCCTTCTTCAGTAAAACCAGATTGCCGTTCCTTCCCCCTTGGACTTAACATTGAAACTGAACTTTTAAATAATTTGCTCTGCATTTTAAAATAAAGCAACCCAGGTATGCATTAATAGAGGAAAGGGCATACAATAACACAGAACCTAGAATTTATAAAATTTCAATTATCTTTCTTACAAAGCTAGAATGTTTTGAATTTCTCTACACGGAGTAGCTGATTCCAAAAGCACAAACAAGCTACTTTTAAAAGAGAATAATTAAAAAACTAACATGTACCTTTGTTGCAGTAGTTCTAGAAATAACAGATTCAAAAAGTCAAAGACAATTAAAAACTTTATGCAAATGACATTCCATTAGTGGGGATTCTAATAAAACAACCAGAAAGCTCAAATACTTGGAAATTCCCTATTTTCTTATTTTGGAAGAGTTGTATGCAGGTAAATAATGCTAATACCAATAACTACAAGGTGGTTTTGAGTTCACGCTCAGATTCAACTCCCTCTCCTGGAACAACAGCTTTCACACTCTTTGGAGTCCCACCAGATCCCCTCTTCAAAGGGGACGTCTCTGCAGAAACCTGACTCCAAAAGCATGGACGGAGGCACCACGGCCCCAGGCAGAGCAGGCCGAGCCCTGCCTGTGCACTGAGGGCCAGCGCAGGGGCTCCTCGAGGCTGGCTCTCCCTCCTCCCCACTACTCACATCCCTCTGCACGCCACAGAATTTTCATCCTTGGAAGGACCTTTGAGAACTTTACAGTTAGACTGGATTGCATCTAGTGCAAATGGCATTTTATAATTTGTTATCTTCTGTTTCCTCGAAAAACTGGTAACATGCAGATGGTCCACCGAGCAGCTCTTGGTTAATCACACCACCCACGCTGTGTGAGTCTATTACCTCTGGAATCTGAAGAGCTCTGTGATTGGCAGTCACTACTTTCGACAGTCTCTGAATATGTTCATGAAGAACCCTGAAAACCGCCAAAAACACAGATGTAAATATATATTTCAGAAAATAAGGTACACAAATAGTCAAAATTGATTTTTTCAAAACATCTTAGAGTTATTTCTTGATACAGATTACAATTACAGTTGAGCCTATCTCCTAGCTATAAGTATGCTGTCTTGTCAAAAAAGTCTTACATTCAGGACCTGCCTAGAAATGCTGAGGGAGCTGAGGGGGTGCAGGGAGAGTAGGGGAGTCCCTCTTTCCCAGACCAGGACAGCCTTCCAAGGGAGACAGGAGAGGAACCATCAGCCCGGAAGCGACTTGGGCACACTAAGTAAACAGGCTGAGAGGAAGCAGAGGGATCAAAGCCAGAAACCAAAGAGCACAGATGCTCAGATGGAGAAGGAGATCTGAGAGCACGAAACCTCATTTCAGAGAGGAAAATAATTAGGCTTAAAAAGGTGAAGGATTTGCCTAAGGTCACACAGGGGTTAGGAGCAGGGGCTAAACCCAGCTTTCCTGGCTGGAGGGTTCTTTCCAGAACACGGTGTTCACTCCCCACTCTATAAAACCTGCAGAAATGCCAGGGAGGAGAGGGTAGGAATACTCTGCTTCAGAGTTGCTCTTGGCAGCAAATACAGTTTGAATGTTCCCACTTCTCACTGGATTCTGAAAACCAGACACTGGTGTTCTGGAGAGAAAACAAGTCCCCTTTGGCGAACTAAGTACAGAAGCCTGGGGTGAGCTAACAGCCTCTAAGACTCCAAACAAGAGAGAGGGGCAGGTTGGGATGGTCCTAACCCATTCACAGGAAAGTGAACTGTCTCAAATATACATGTGGTATCTTAAAATTTCCATGAAAAACCCTTATATAAACCACTAATGATCGACCCTGAGGTCCTATTACAGGGACCCCTTGAGAGTCACGGTCCAGTAAGCCACTGTTACTGCTGGGGAGCACAGTGGCCACCTCAATGTCTGGGGGCAGAAAGAGGGTTGTCAAGCAGTGCTCCAAAAAATGCAGAAGAGGAAAAGTAAAAATGCTAAATCATCCATAGTCTCACTACTCAAAAATGACCACTGTTCCATTCCAGATTTGTTTTCAGGATTGATTTTTTTAAGGATTACTTGTTTAGCAACAGCTTTATTGAGATAGAATTCACACACCATATAATCCCAGGTATTTTTGATATTCAAATATGTAACTTTTCACTCCTAATACATAGATAATAAGTATATATTTGAAGTCACGCCCGGTGCTTCACGCTCTGATAGAGCCTTATGTTCCAGCTCTCACAGAGGGAACAATCCAGAGGGGAGAGAAGCAGCCATCGAATGATCACACAAACCAGTGATCAAGAACAAGGGGCAATTCTGCCCCTCAAGAAACATTTGGCAGTGTCTTGAGACAATTTTGGTTCTCACAACTGGTAGGGTACTACCAGTATCTAGTGTGTAGAGGCCAGGGATGCTGCTAAACGTCCTACAGTGCACACAGTAGTCTCCCACATTAAAGAATTATCTGGGGCAAAACTGCAGTAGTGCCAGGTTAAGAAATTATCATTCTATCAAATGTAAAACTGCCAACTGTGGCAAGTGCTAAAGAACGGTACATGGGCCTGAGAGAGCCAGCAACAGGGGAGTTCACCCGGTCAGAAAGGCACACGGGCCTGAGAGCCCCAGCAGGGCAGTTCACCTGCTCAGGAAGGCCCACGAGCCTGAGAGCGCCCCGGCAGGGGATTTCCCTAGGTAGTCCAACAGAAGCACTCACTGGTCACGAAGTATGTCCCCATCCTGGTTAGGGTAGAAGGCAAGCTTGAAAATCCGATTCATCACACTTCGTTCAATGGCCAGCTGAGCATCCTGAAGCTGCTCCTCACTCGCATTTTGCCATATGACATCCTGGGCCATCGCACCATAAAGGAACTGCAGAAAATCTTCTACCTGAGCAGTTTTATCATCAGCTGCTGTGAGTTTCTGAAAGTCTCCAATGAAAAAGAACAATTTTTAAAATACACAGCTGAATAATTTTAAAAAAGAAATTACAGAAATCATTTTAATCACTAGCTATGCAGATACTCCACGCTTAAAGCTGAAAGTACCTAGATGTGGCTTATTGTAGGAGAACATGCAGCCAAATCATTAAAATCAGGAGAAAGGTAAGAAATGCGTAAAAGTTTAACAGCAAGGGGTTTGTTATAAAAATGATATGCCTTTTTTTTATTTCTTGTCTTTTTTTTTTTAAAACGATTTTATTTTTCCTTTTTCTCCCAAAGCCCTCTGGTACATAGTGGTATATTTTCAGTTGTGGATCCTTCTAGTTGTGGCATGTGGGATGCCGCCTCAGCATGGCCTGATGAGCGGTGCCGTGTCCACGCCCAGGATTCAAACTGGCGAAACCCTTGGCCACCAAAGCGGAGCGTGCGAACCTAACCACTCGGCCATGGGGCTGGCCCCTATATGATTTGTTTTTAAAAAACAAGAGAAACTATATGGATGCAAGACTTGACCAAGTTTTCCAACTTATAATTTATAAACTATAGATATTCAGTGCAGGATAAAAATGAAATTTATCGGTGTGACATCAAGGTTTAATTATTAAGAATCCATAAAATAACTAGGAATTTAAGGAACTGCTCTTAGACATGTAGGTGCTCAAACGAGCAAAGCAAACATTGCCAAATCTTCCCCATGATACACGGCTGACAAGACGCTTCTCCAAAAGGCCTTAGTTACCTTGAATGAACTCCCTGATCTTCTTCTCTTTGCTCTCCAGCAGCAGCCTCACACAGACAGTGGTAAAGTACCGATTGGCCACCTCTTTGTCCCGCAAAACCCTTTGCAGTAGCCTTTCCAGGTGAGCCTGTGTGGTCTGTAGTCCTTGTCGACAGCGAGTGAGATAAGCAATATAGGGGGCCCTTTTCCTAAAAGGAAATATGCTTTGCAGGACATCAGATATATTTGGTGCACACTTCCTCTGGAAACTAAGAGTCTAATTTTTCTTTAAAAAGAAATTACCTCATGGACTTTGGTTTTACAAATTAGCATGTCAGGCTGAAGACAACTGTCCTGAGGGCTAATTATGCTTGCCAGCTTAAGAAACAGAACCCTTCTGCACGTTTGTGACGAACAGCACCTACTGGGCTGAATACTTAGCTACCTAACTCACTAAACGTTACCAAGTCCCTTCAAATCGTTGGTCTATTTTATACTGGAGCACAGTCTCCATGCTGGCAGGAGTTCATTCTTAAAAGGAAAGTGATTGCCTCGGAAGACTAAAATAACAAAATACGGGTGAATATACCACTAGATCATTAAACACACCACCAATTATTTGCTTAGTCTAAATGTAACAATCACTAGAGCAGCTACTGCCCAAGCATCGAAGCCTCCTCACTTCGTAAGCGTCTCAATAGCATTTTTCTCCTTACTGTTAGCAAGGGGTGGCAACAGATAAAGCGGAGCACTTCCCAGGCCTACTCCCGATTCCCTGGTGCAGGGAAGTACTCTTCCTCATCACCCCTGAAAAAAGGAAAATGACATCCGAGTTTTCCTGGCCTCACCTCTGCCACGGCTGCTTCTGTGCAAAGCTGAATAAACTGCATTCCTCTGTTAGTATGAACTGCTCATTTATAACTACATTTCCAGACTAACTAAACAGCTAAATGTGTTCCATGGAAATGTACATCCAGGTAAACCTAGCAAGTACTTGTAGTAAGCCTCAATTCATTTTTGAAATAAGAAGCGAGAAAAAAATACCACTGAAAATAGATATAACAGCGAAACCAGATGAGAACACTACCTGTAGTCCTCGGCAATTGAAGCCAGCAGTTTCCTACAAGTCCTATTATCAAAGCGGCACACACAACGCATTGTCTCTTGAAGTTGAGCCATTAAATTCTTGTCTTGTAAATTAATTGCTTCAGCTATTTGAACTTTTAAGAAGCATACAATTTCATTATCTAAACAAAAAAACAAGAATTCCGTCATGGTTGAGAATCTCCTTGGCCTTACATAAGCTGTAAGCCATCCCCCAGCCTCTGGGACATCCCCCCTGCCTTCCCATGGATCAGCAGAACTCAGCTGCAGCGCACTCTCAGAGAACACTTCAACGAACCATTAGCAACCAAAGTGCCCTTAGCTGACACTAACACGAACATGTTAAGTTGAATCATACGAACTTGCTGCAGAGCTTAAATACAGTGGAATACTAGCAATTCCAGTATGGTTCAACCTTTAAATACAGGAAAAAATAAACTATAGTGCGGCAACTTACCTTCTGGATCGGTATGATCAGGTAAACCGTTCCTGGTTGAATGGGTTAGCACTGGGAAAGCGACAGAATCCGCAGAGCAAAGGGCAAGCCTCAGTTTCTTTTTCGCGTCTCTGAAGAACAAGTGAAAAGGACATTAATTTCTTTATCCAGATATGGTCAGTTTGTGAACATTTGCTATGTAAATTAATATGTTACCTCAGGACTCAAGTATTTCAAGTGGCCATAAATAAAAGATCATTTTTAACTTACTGACACCTCCCTTACAGGAACAGGCTGCCTAGACACCCGAGGAACAAGGCTGAGAAAGGGCTCTGGGCAAGGAGTGCTCTGTACACTCACCAGCATCAGTCAGACAACAAATCCTTTTTGACCTTCTAGCATAGCATATGCCAAGCTCTCTGAGGAGTTTGAAAGGTGCATTATGCCAGGGTTGGGAGGGGCCACAGAAGTCATTAGAACCATCTCACCACGCAAACTAAGAAGGCCTTCTACCACACCTCCTGAGAAATGTTGATCCTGCCACAAGACAAGCTCACCACCTTTCCCTATTGGTTTGCTTCCCATAAACATGTGATTTATGAAGCAAGCTAATCAAACGTAATGTTTGCCCATTTTGCAAAAACTCGTAAAATATACAGTGGTAAAGTCATGGCAGGAAAATAAAAATTCTCTTTGCTGCTCCCCCCAATTTTAGTGCTGGGAAACAATTATAAAGCTTCATAATATTTATAAATAAAATGAGGTACTGTTCAGAGTTTGCTTTAGACTAATTAGAGGAGGAGAGGTAAATATGAAACAATATTGGCCATGTATCAGTAACTGCTGAATCTGGGTAGTAAGCACATCATTGTACGCGCTCATTTTTGTATAAGTTTGAAATTTTCTATAAAAAGTTAAGACAGACAGAAACAGAGACGGATGGATGGATGACCAGGGCGTTAAAACTGACAATCCCTGTCTGGGGAAGCAGAGGTACCCTATGAAACAAAGGCAAATTCTTCAGGCTATTAAAGTCATTTTCTTTCTCAAGCCCCATTAGAACTAGAGAGTCTTGCCCAGGCAACGAGGAAGATGAGAAGCTGAGAGGGCTCCGGCAGGTGCACTGGAGACAGTGGGTCATTCAACAGCTCTGCAGCTGAACCCACCTCCTGCCTCAGCCCTCCCCCAGTGTCCTCACACGGCCTGGGGGCTTCGCATGGGCAGATGCACTGCCACTGGTTTCACTTAAATACTCACGTGGCCCCTGTGAGCATATGGGGTATTCTTTTTTTTTTTTTTTTTTAAAGATTTTATTTTTCCTTTTTCTCCCCAAAGCCCCCCAGTACATAGTTGTATATTCTTCGTTGTGGGTCCTTCTAGTTGTGGCATGTGGGACGCTGCCTCAGCGTGGTTTGATGAGCAGTGCCATGTCTGCGCCCAGGATTCGAACCAACGAAACACTGGGCCGCCTGCAGCGGAGCGCGCGAACTTAACCACTCGGCCACGGGGCCAGCCCCAAGGGGTATTCTTTTTAATCCCTGAATTAAAGCCTTTGACATATGACATCTACAAGTGAGAGCAGGTTATCTTGGCAAACAGCATTTCATTCTTATTTCTGCTTTCTATTTGTGTGTTAAGTGACTCAATGAATCGCCTGACTTGAAGTGACTGCCTTGGTAACGAAAAGTCCAAATCCCAAAGTCCTGAATCCTATAAAAGAAATACCTGTAAGAGAAAGCGGAGTCCTGAGGGTGGGCCGCTTGGCTCGCGGAGTCTGGGAGGTCGTCAGCCGAGATGTTCTGCAGCGTTTCGTCACGAGGAGAATCATGTGCACTTTCACCATCACCCAGAACCTCTACACAAATCCACCCCCCAAAAAAGGATAAGCAGGTTAATTCGGAATATTCTGGCACTACTAGGTATTGAGAGCAACTCAATAATAAATTAGCATCGTGCTTTACAATAGGAGCTCTTTGGAAAAGAAAGAAAAAAATTTGAACAGTTAAGTTATTGATAGCAATGATAATCCATCAAGAGAGCAGTTGTTGAAGAGAGAATGGTTTTACTTCTTATAAACCAATCCTAAGACAAAATAATGAAAGTCTTTATTAACTTAATAAAGATAATACTCTGTAATCAAAATCACTGAACTACAGAACTAAAAGGGGCCTCAAAAATCATTTGACGTAACTTCTCAGACAAGGGAAACAATAGAAAGAATAAACAAATGGGACTTCATCAGACTAAAGAGCTTCTTCAAGGCAAAGGAAAACAGGATTGAAACAAAAAAACAACCCACTAACTGGGAAAAAATATTTGCAAGTCATACATCTAACAAAGACTTAATACCCATAATATATAAAGAACTCACACAACTCAACCACAAAAAATCAAACAACCCGATCAAAAAATGGGCTGGAGACATGAACAGACATTTCTCCAAAGAAGATATACGGATGGTCAACAGGCACATGAAAAGATGTTCATCATCGCTGACCATCAGGGAAATGCAAATCAAAACTACACTAAGATATTACCTTACACCCATTACAATGACAAAAATAACTAAAACAAATACTAACAAATGCTGGAGCAGTTGTGGAGAAAAAGGAACCCTCATACACTGCTGGTGGGAATGCAAACTGGTGCAGCCACTATGGAAAACAGTATGGTGATTCCTCAAAAAATTAAAAATAGAACTACCATACGATCCAGCCATCCCACTACTGGGTATCTATCCAAAGAGCTTGAAGTCAGCAATCCCAAAAGTCCCATGCACCCCAATGTTCATTGCAGCATTATTTACAATAGCCAAGACGTGGAAGCAACCTAAGTGCCCATCAACAGATGACTGAATAAAGAATATGTGGTATATATATATACAATGGAATACTACTCAGCCGTAAAAAAAAGAACAAAATCGTCCCATTTGCAACAACATGGATGGACCTTGAGGGAATTATGTTCAGTGAAATAAGCCAGACAGAGAAGGACAATCTCTGTATGACTCCACTCATATGAGGAATTTAAAAATGTAGACAAAGAGACAGACTAGGGGCTACCAGGGGAAAGGTGAGGTGGGGGGTGGGCACAAAGGGTGAAGAGGTGCACCTACAACACGTCTGACAGACAATAATGTACGAGTGAAATTTCACAAGATTGTAACCTATCATTAACTCAATAAAAAATTTAAAAAAAAATCATTTGACATAACACCCTCATTTTATAGCCATGGTATCCTGCCCAATCAGAAAATGGTTTCCTATAAATAAACCCTTTGGCCAGTGGCTGAGGTGGACCACGCGCTCAAGTCTCCCATTCTCCTTACCAGGGCTTCTCCCACTGCCCAAGAATGAGCCGGGGATGAACTCACAAATGCAGCCGGGCCAGACCTGTGGTTCCCACAGTTTTTATGTTATCAATTTAGATAACACATGCACATATAAAATCAAAAGGAATAAAAAGTTCCCTGGTGTAATAAAGATGCTGTGTTTATGTACAAAAAATATCCTTATTCTTAAGAGAGAATTTCAAGTGCTCAGGAAAAAAAGAAAAAACCATATAGAGAGAAAAAGTGGCAAAATGTTAATAACTGATAATTCTTAGATAGAAGGAAGATGGACCTTTACTGTACTAGTCTTTCAACTTTTCTGTTATTTTAAAACTTTTCAAAATAAAAAGTATGAGAAGATTCCCCCCCACCGGCTCCCTCTCAGGTACCCTATGACGCCCCCTGGAGCCAACTCATGTTACCAGTTTGTTAGAGATTCTTCCAGAGACACTCTGTGCACATACAAGCATAAATACATGCAGCATATGATTTCTGCTTTTATATACTTTTGTTTCCTCCTAACTTATCTTGGAGATTGTACCATATTTTTCTGACAGGTATTCAAAAGTAACTATACAAAGGCTACTTTTAATTCAGAACACCTTCATCAGTGTGATAGACACGTTACTATTCAATCTTTATCATGATTATCACCTGCACTTTCATAGTTTGCCATCGCTCCGTCACTGGGGCTGGTTCGTTTAATGGCATTTCTGTATTTGTCCAGAATATCCTCAGCGACCTGAGCTTGCGCACTGAGTCTAGGGCTGGGATCATCTGCAGGGAAAGGAGAGGGAGAGCATTAGCTCCCCTTGGTTTGTACCAACTCTGATGTTAGTACGACACCAGGAGCATAATCCCAAAGGCGGATTAGGAGGTAAGACTTAAAAAGAGCACATATCTCAATGTTAAGAGGCACCATGCAGCTGCCTACTCATCCTGCTTCTAGTTCAGTGAACCTTGCCAAAGCACGAAACTGGGAGGGTTAGCTCCACTTTTTCATCATCGCCAGAATTCTGCATGACAGTGTCAAAAAGTTCAGTGCAGACTGAATGGATGATGGGTTTCTAAAGTGCTTACACTCAAATCACTCTTAGCAATTCATTTTACAGAACTTCCAACGAGGCATTTTTACATGCAGACTTCATTTATTCAGACATCTCCATGCTGAAGGAGGAAAAAAGAAGTACTCAAACTTAGAATTAAACTCTTGTAAATAATAATAATAAATGCCTTCCTCCATTCTTCCTTCATGAATTTCTCCCTCTACATCACATGTGAAGACTTCAGATACTCATATTCTCTCTCACCCTGACAGTGCAGCCGCTGGACTAGAGCACCTCTGTGCGTGCAATGGTGTCAGAGGCGCTCCTAGAGAACCCAGACATTGTTGGGGAGTGCTGGAATTGTGCCTGCGGTGCACGGAGGAAAAGCTTATCACAATCACAGACGCAGCACTGCTTACGGACAGGACGGTTATCCTGTCAGCAATGTCAGCATAACAAAATGTTTTCCCGGAGTCTACGATGGCAGAGTCACTAATTAACAGTTGTCACAGCACAGAATTGCTAGAGATCTCTGGGACAAAATTAAGTTCCATAGTGAAACGCAAACTCCTAAGATAGATCTAGGCCAAGCAGGTAACCGTAAATGTCTATATTCTGGTAGAATCCCATTTTTTAAAAAGTCTAAAATTACATAAAAATCACTAGATTTTATATGTGTGTCTGTGTTAATAGCAGCTAATATTAGTAGCAGCTAACATTTATTGAGCACATGCCACGTGCCAGGAACTGTGCTAAGCACCTTATATGAATGATCTCAATTAATGACCACAACTACTCTACAAGGAGGTACTATCATCATCCCCTTTTATAGAAGAGAAAATCAAGGTAGAGAGAGGTTAAGCAGTACATTCATAGGCTCTTCTTTTGTTTCCATGAAAAAAATATTTAGTATTCATGTCTCCATAAAATTGTAGTCAAGTGTAGAGAGAAAGGATTTCCAAAGTAACAATCTTTCCACTATAATGGTATTTGAACGCTTGTTAAGAGAGTCCTAATAAAATCTGATCTTCTTCAAAATGTAAAACCTTTATCATTACAAAATCTTTTTTGGAGGGGGAATACCCTTTTGCTATTGATTTTGAGTGCTGAAAAAGGGACAATAAAATTTGGCTAGGGGGCAGCCCAGTAGCATAGTGGTTACGTCAGCATGCTCCACTTTGGTGGCCCAGGGTTCGCCCATTCAGATCCCAGGTGCTGACCTACATACTGCTCATCAAGCCATGCTGTGGTGGCATCCCACATACAAAACAGAGGAAGATTGGCACAGATGTTAGCTCAGGGCCAATCTTCTTCTTCTTAAAAAAAACTTGGCTAAACATAGTGAAAGCCACAATGTTGCTCATAACCTTTATTTCTATAATGCCATTCTTAAGAATTTTATCCCAGGAAAATAACGAAAATGCTATATATACAAAGATGTGTGTGTGTATATATATATATATATATATATATATATACACACACACACAGTAAGACATTGGATACAATTCAAATATCCAAAAGCAAGAGAACATTCACACTGCAGTAAAATCATATGATAGATTATCTTAGAGCCAATAAAAATTACTGAAAAGCCAGCTATGTCTAGTAGAAATTGGGAGAGGATTTATGAAATAACATGGTAAAAGAAGAATACAAAGTTACACACATACTCTGATTCAATCGTGAAAAGGCCATGTACAAATATGGAAAGACTGGGAGAGAACATGAAAAAAAGAATAGTTACAGTGGCGGGATTATGGACAGATCTTAAGAAATTTCCTTTCATAATATTTTAAGTTGATTTAACGATAATTTTCAATGAGTCATTAATTAGAAATGTGTAGAAATTCCCACACCAGTAGGGAAACTAAATTGCTTGAATCAAACACAAAGAAAATGAAATATTTTATGAAAAAACTTACTCTTTTCAGCTTCTGGTTTGGGCACCAAGAACCAAGAAAAACGCATGGTCCAAAGACACGAGTAAAAAGCAATTTACAACTTCTCCCAAGCTATTAATTCAACATTTTAAAAACATGAGAGTTCATTAAGAGTATCTCCCTTTATAAATGGTGGTAGTGTTCCAACACTAGCAACACGGTAAGGAAACAGGTATCTTGCCAAAAGGATGCCTTTCCAATTCTTCTCAATCAGACTGTAGTTCCTGAAGAACAGGAGTCAGGTGTGATTTGATTTAATACCTACAACACTCAGCACAGTGCCTGGCACGAGTCAGATGTTCAACAAGCATTTGCTGATGGAGTAAGACAGGCTTGACTGCTCTGGGCAGGGAACCGTGGCCTGCAAGCACAGCTCCTGGAGGTCAAAACTCTTTACTCCAGGAACGTCACCGCGCTGACCACAGCAGGGCTATATGGCAGGGCATGGGGACGTCTACTGTACAGAACGAGACATCAGAATAAGATGGATTAAAATGGGATTCTATCTGTGCTATGCTGAGCTCTTTGAGGAGGATGTTCTTTTGAAACGTATCCCATTTTTTAATGAAAAAATCTTCATTTTAACTTGGTAGGATAACATAATTTAAAATTCAAGATTAAAAAAAGAGGTGAGAAATTAAATTTCCCTCTAGAAGCTCTATAGTCATTGGAAACAGTACACAGCTTTCAAACTCAAGGTTGGGTCATTAACACTATTTCTCAGATTCTTTCCTTTTAGGGTGCTCATTCATAATGTACCAAAAAGAAGCTGCAAAAATACTAATGCTGAATAAGGCAAGAACGCAACCCCTAGTTGTATTTCCCTTGGGTCAGATAGCAATGCTAAAATGATTCAAGCTGTAAAAAATTGGTAAAGTTTATAAATTTATGGTATGTTTGACCAAACACTTTATCATGAAAAAAAGAAATGATTAGGTAAAACAGAATTTCACTGTGATCCTAAACAATCAAGAACTACAGATGGAAATAAATTTAGAATTCTACAATCAACATTAGAGAAAACTATTCAATGATCCCGATATGGCATGCATAGCACTAAAACCATCACCACACTTTCCTAAAAGGCACTGTGTGTCATCATCCCACTAAAATGCAGAGTTGGAGGATATGCCTAGAGGCTCAGGATCAGGGGCCTCATCATAAACGGAAGTTATGGTCATGAGGATGATGATGGTGGTGGCAGTCTGCAGGAAGAGCACACTGCGATTCACTGTGGCCGCCAACTGGACACCACAGAGCTACGAAGAACATACTCCCCATGTACACACACAGACACACTCTTCTAAAAAGGCAACGCTTATGGCACCCAAGAAAAAGTGTTATGAAATATGTGCTCTGGGAATGAAGGAGCCAGGAAGTCCATGGGTCTACAAACCTGTGAGTGTTGAGAATCTGTCAGGCCCCAGATCATCTTTGTCTTTTTCTTGTTTTTCTTTCTTTCTAAATGGTATAGGAGCTGGAAATTAAATAAAGTCAGTAGTGTGACATATAACATACTGCACTACTTGGAAGACAGCAGTCATTTTGGAGTTAACTGGTGTGCCAACATTTCTAAGTGAAAGGAGGTGAAAAGTTTAAAAGCTAAGAAATCCCGGGTGTCAACTGATAATCGTTCTTAAAATAGCGTTGAAGGTTCTTAAAGAAGCTTTCAGGATCTGCTTTGGGGTCATCTGCCACAGGAAGAATGATTTAACGGACTCTACTGGGTCTGAATCAAAGACACTGCCTCTTAACTTCTGCTCAAAAACAACACATTCCAAGCTCTGAGCCTCATTCTCTCCTCCCATCGAGTGGGCTTGAGCATGGCGTGAAAGCAGTGCTCCTCAGCTCCTGAGCGAAACGGTGCACAGAAGAGCCCGGCGGAAGAAGCAGCTTTAATCCCAGACCATCTCTCCTTTCAGGAAGAGATGCTTTTGCCAACTCAAATCTCAGTACCTATTGGTATGATGCCAGGCTATTCACAAATAAAGCAAACAATTTTATACAACTGCCTTCCAAAATAAACACTCACTAATATTCACAGTATAAACATTCTCAATGAACAAAAACATAAAAAGCTTAAGTTTATTCCAGGAATGTAAAGGATGAATTTTCCATGTTTAATTACCAATAGCATCCCTTTTCCCTGCAATAATTCTTAGCAACACGTGTCAAAAGCCCTGTACATTTAACTTCAATGGTATATGACATTTAAACAACTGTGACCTGCATGGCTTCCATTTCTGAACACACTACCACTTCCTGCAAAGAACAGGAGCGGTCCTTTCTAGAGCTCTGCCTTAGCATTCACCTGAGTGAGGCCAGTTCCGAGACCCTCCAAACAGCTAGAAGCTCAGGCCCAACAAGCCTCACAGAGGAGCTGAGAGATGGGCTCTCCGAGAGATCTGAGGGCTTTGCTTCTGCTTGCTAATATAGCATTCTAATGTTTTATAAAATTACCTTTCGGCATGGCAGAAACAAAACGTTTTCTCCACCAAGGTCTGTTCCTGTCTGATTTCTCATCATCGCTATCTTTGCGTTCTTCAGTCTGTAGAAAAAGTTTGATGTTTTATTTGGAGTTGGACAGCAGGATGAATTACTATGAAAAGGATTTCAGTTAGTGTGTGAAATACAAAAACCACTCTTGTTTGACTTAAAAGCAAAACTGTTCTTACCGCTATATAGGCAACTTATGGAACACGTAAGTATACCTTTTAAGCACCAGACTATGATCTGCTTGAGGGTGGCACTATCCCATTACTCTTAGTAAACCAAAAGCTTAAAACAGAGCCTAGCATAGGGTAGGTACTCAATGGAATGAGTAAATGCAATGCAAACAAAATCTAGAGGGGTAGCAGAGATGGTAGCAGCAGGATTAATTAAAAAACCGCACATGCACTGTGTGTCAAACAGTGGGTGTAAGGATTTATATCATCTCATTTAAACTTCACAGTAGTCTTAGGAGATAAATACTACTATTAAGCCCTTTTTATAGATGAGAATTATCAGGCTAAAAAAAGTCATCTCCTCATCTTCCCCAAAGTTATAGAGCCTGTGTGTGGCACAGCTGGGACTCAAACCTAGATGTGACCAAGGTCAAAGTTCATATTTTGATCACCAATTATCATGAGTTATCATCAAGACTACATGCCAAAGGGCAGGGATGGTAATTTCTTTACTAGCCTATCATGTGACCTTAGACGAATCATTTCACTTGTTATTTTCATCTACAAAACTGGAACTAGAAACACCTTCTCTGAAGGCCTCCATGGGAAAGGGATATCAGAACCCAAGCAGAGAGATGAGGGCATCTGTGCCAGGGAGGGTTTAGCAGTGGGGATAGGATACTGATTACATATAGGAGGACTGATCGAATAAGTACATACATGAAGAATAATGAAAGCAGGTTTCTCACTGGTGGAGAAGGGAGTTACAAATATGGAAAGGGAGAAAGATGAAATGAGATGTGTTGATTTCAGACTGGGATGGAATGTATCAACGTGAGCTCATGGTTCTCAACATTTACAGAGAAAGAGAGATACAGAAATACACACACTTGTAAACGTGTGTGTACCACCCTGCACACACACACACACACTTCCTAGCTCTGTCTACTGAGAGGTCCTGGGGGCAGCAACGTCCCTACAGCAATGAGCACAGCTAGTATCCAGATTTTGACTTCTAAACACCATTTTCCACCAAAAGCAGCAAGGACTCCCTGGAGAAATTGCTGATTTCAGGACTAGGGCAGACAGAGTACAACATAAGCTCGTAGCATTTTGTGCCAGAAAGCAAAGAAACAGTCAAAGAATGATAGCAGCATGTCAAAAGAAGCTAGGAGTCAGCTTGAAGGGGTTCCCACTGGCCAAATCAGGGACAACTGGGCTTCAAAATAAATGATGGTAACAAACTCGCTGACTAAAATAGAAAATCATGAGTTAATAAGTTGATAAATTTAAAATTTGATGAGGAAAAGGATATTTGCATATTTTCAAGTCTCCCCTCCCCCTAAAGTTACTTATTAATTACAAAAGGGGAAAAAAACAACTTTACAGTGGTGAAGCCCGGCAGACAACACCTTTATCAAATGATCCAAATGAACAGCACAGTGATGGAATAAATAAAATTGCGTGCTACCTGACAGGATGTAATGAAAAGAACACAGAGTCACTTCAGTGATACTCCTGCCAAAGATGAATAACCTCAATCTAATCATGAGGAAACATCCAACAAACCTAAATTGAGGGACATTCTAGAAAATAACTGGCCTGCAATTTTCAAGAGGATGAAGGTCATGAAAATCAAGGAAAAACTGAGGAAATGTTCTAGCCTAAAAGAGACATGACAACTAAATACAAGATGTGATTCTGAATGGGATCCTTTTGATCTAAAGAATGTTACTGGGACAACTGGGGACGCATTAGTAGGGTGTGAGAATTAGCTGGTAGTAATGTATCAATTTTAATTTCCTGAGGGTGATGGTCATACTCTGATGTGTAGGAGAAGGTGCTCGTTTGTAGGAAACTTACACTTAAGTATTCATAGGTGGTGGATCAACTTACTCTGACATGGTTGGGGGGGAGTTCTTTGTAACTACTTCCAACTTTTTTGTAACTCTGTGATTGCTGCAAAATAAAAAATAATACCTCCTTGGGGAAAAAAACAATACCTCATCTAACCATCTCAGAAGGAAACTGTGAGGTTTTAAGTGAAATTAGATACAAAATTGCTTAGAGAAAAGTTAAAACATTACTACAAAAAAGTAGTCAGTAGTAGAAAATAGTAGAGGTTTCCCATGGGTTATGGTCATGGATATACTAGACAGATAAATCATCTTTAATCATCTCTACTGTCCATCCTTAATCTTAGATGTATGTATTCCATGTTAATTTCAGAGAGCAGAAGAACCAGGCAGATAGAACGCTACAGCTGACCACAATTAGCCAATTCTTCTATACGGCTTGTGCTCCATACCTCTCCTCTTGAGGAGTCCTTACTCGGGGATGAAGATGATGAATGAGGTGCAGCCATCAAAGAAGTAGCACCAATGGCTGCGGCTGGAGGGAGTTCTCGCTCTTCATTCCCTGGACGTCGATTCCAGCTGGGGTCACTCATGGGTCGCCGGACAGAAGACACTATATCAGAGCTCCTGCTGCGAACTAATCTCTCAGGGTAAGAATGCCTTTGCCTGAAGGCCTCCATTTCAGCCGGAGTTAAAACATGGGAACCAAAGTTCGGCAACCTGGCCTCATGTCCTCCCACAGCTCCTTCCAGGATTGGGGGATCTGGTGGTGGATGCGATGGCCTGGCATAGTGAACCTTTGGCCTTACCACAGCAGAGGCCCCTAGAACACAGGAAACGTTTGCCACTGAGACACAACTGATCCAACAAAGGCATTAACAAAGGGCTTTGGTTTTGTTCTTCCGTCCCTGATAAGACAAGAGTTACAAAGTTCATGTGACTAGTTTACCTTCATGTGAAGACAGTGGATCAAACATGGCAAGCAGAGACTCAGACTGCGAAGGAGGAGAGGTCAGCTGGTGGGCACCTAAAACAGACCGGCAAACTGTGAGACGACATCAGAACTCAGGACTCGTGGAGAGTTTCAACACAGTGAAAAAGGTTCTAGCATTCTTCCAGTTTTCCTTTTTTAAGCAATTAGAATTTGAGGGGCATATCAGAAAAAAAAATCTAATCAATATCAAACTCTGGTTACTTCAAATTCATCTGATGTTTTACCTACACACATGGATTTTCACTACATTTAAGCGGTCTAGTGGTACCTTTATGCTCTTAAAAATTACTGACCCGAAGAGCTTTTCATTATGTTAGTTACATCTATTGATATTTAACATATTACAAGTTAAAACTGAAAAGAAGCGCATAAATATAGTAATCCATTTAAATATGTCCACTAAATGACAACACAAATAACCCCTTTTAATGAAAAATAACTATATTTTCCAAAATAAAAAATAGCAAGAAGAGTGACGCTATTTACAATTTTGCAAATTCCTTTAACGTATGGCTTAATAGAACACAGCTGGATTCTCACATCTGATTCTGTTCTCGATCTGGTGCAACACGTTGTTTTGCTTGAGGTACATAAAGAAAAGCTGGCCTTGCACATAAGTAGTTGGAAAAGCAACAATATTTTAATAGTCTTTTCAGATAACTGTGGATAGTCTTCTTTGATATTACACCAAATCTTGACAAGTAGTAGTTTTTTCAAGGTTAGCTATAATGTGGAATCTGAAACCAAATCAATGAACATTTTGTACTCTGTTACACTAAAATTAATTGGTCTTGCACTTTGAATGGATCTTTTACTCATGCATGATTTTGTAACACCATGCCCTGATCATCTGGAAAATACTGGTTCAGTTAGATATGCAGATCTTTCAAATGTTGACACATTTCAACATGTGATATTGAAAAATCACATTCTTAATATCACTACCAATCTCACCAGAAAAGTCTTTCAATAGTGGGAAGCTGTCAAGCTCATGGAGGTGGGTACAAGTTTTCCAAAATTCTAATTTTTATCTAAAAGCTTGAACTTTATCATTGGCAACAAATTCTCCTCTGTCCGTTGTTTTCCTTGAAGTGAGGCTTGCGTTGTTAATTTTTAAGAAATGTCTGCCAAATACCCACGTATAATAACTATAGTTTGTCATTCTTTCAAGTAAAAATGGTGTTTTGTGAAAAATAAACAGGAAAAAAACAGCTAGTTAAGCTCACAGCTCAAATAATCATATAAGTGCTTTTCCTTGAGATACTTCATCATATTTCAGAATACAGCAGAAACACTTTATTTCTATTTCTTCACACAGAATATTAAAAAGATGTGTACTCGGGGCCGGCCTGGTGGCGCAGCGGTTAAGTGCACACATTCTGCTTCGCTGCCCAGGATTCACCAGTTCGGATCCTGGGTGCAGACACGGCACCGCCTGGCAAGCCATGCTGTCGTAGGTGTAGAGGAAGTAGAGGAAGATGGGCATGGATGTTAGCTCAGGGCCAGTCTTCCTCAGAAAAAAAGAGGAAGATTGGCAGCAGATGTTAGCTCAGGGATAATCTTCCTCAAAAAAAAAAAAGATGTGTACTCAAGAGTTGAAATGGAATTAATTTTTACTGCTTATCCAAGACATTCATAAGTAAACCTTTTTTTTTTTTTAACTGTGAGAGAATACAAAGGCTACTAGCTAGCAAGTTCTGCTGCCAGTGCCTTGCCTCGTGCTAAGGACCTCAGCAAATTTACCCACCTTTGCCTGTGCATTGTCAGTGCAAACGTCAATACAGTGAAAAGGATGATAACTTTTTATCATTATGAAAATAGTTTTGACCTCATAGTCTGGATTCCCTCAAAAGTGTCTTAAAGGCCCTCAGTGGTCCTTGGAGACCACACTTTGAAAAGGGCTGTTTTACAACACTGGTTCTCAACTATTTCAGCCCTCAAAGGATCAATGTCTGGAGACATTTTTGGTTGTCACAACTGCAGGGGAAGGAGCTGGGTGGTATGCTCCTGGTAGCGGCCAGAGATGCTGCTAAACATCATACCACCCACAGGGCAGGCCCCCACAACAAAGAATAACTGGCCCAAAATGTCAATAATGTTGAAGAGGAGAAATCTTGGCTTAAAACAAACAGAAATGTAAAGAAAAAAAGGTACCTCAAAACTCAGTACCCAATATATAAAACCACTGCTAGCACTTTGGTATTTCTTTCCAGTGCTTTCTCTATGATACGCTTTCTAATGTTTTATTATCTTACATATAAAATTCTTTAAAATAAACTAAGTGATATTATGTTCTAGGTATTTCTCCAAGTTAGTTCATATTCTTTAAAGCATTTAAGAACAGCTGCATAGTGGCCCTGTGGCCAGAGTGGTTAAGATCACACGCTCTGCTTCGGCAGCCCAGGGTTTTGCCAGTTTGAATCCTGGGTGCAGACATGGCACTGCTCATCAAGCCATGCTGAGGCGGCATCCCACATGCCACAGATAGAAGGACTCACAACTAAAAATACACAACTATGTACCGGGGGGCTTTGGGAGAAAAAGGAAAAAATAAAATCTTCCAAAAAAAAAAAAAAAAAAGAATAGCTGCATAAATTCGCATAAGCGGTTACATCAAAAGTCACTTCGCCATTCTATTTTTCATTCTTAAGTTGTTTCTAATTTTCTGCCAACATAAATGTTATGAAGAACATCTCTGTGCATAAGACTTTCTCCATACATGGAACTGTTTCCTTATGACTGATTCCTAAAGTGGACTAACTTGCCCAAATTTAGTATGTGAACTTTTAAGGCCTTCTCTAAGTACTGCTAAATTATGCCCCAAAGTGCTCTAACAATTGCTATTATCACCAGCAATGTGTAAGACTGCCAGTTTCACCTATGAATGTAATCATTTTTAAAAGTCATTCTCATTTCCCCTTCTTACCATGAGTTATTTCATCCATGTCTGGACTAGTGACAGAATCTTTACCTCCAAAATCAGAGCTGCACTCAGATCTCAGGTCTTCAATCTTATTAGGAATATCCTCAGAGGTTGCACTTATGCCTTAAAAAAAAAAAAAAAGTAAAAAATAAACAGCAAGAAGAACAAAGTAACCACACAGAAAGTATATGAAGTATATGGAGAAGTGTAAATATTCTCAAATTTTTTTGGTCTATACATGTGAGTTGTTTGGTATTATATGCTTTATTGTACTATAGCTTCAATACATTTACCTTGGTTTGCACAACATAATCAGAATTATCATGTGATATATAAACATAGTAGCAGAGGCTACCAAGAACAGATAAGAGTTAAAGAAGGAGCACACACAGACTGTTTGCCATCTACTTCAACAGGCTCTATAAAGCTACACATTAAGTTCTTATAGATTTAAGGTCCCACAGAAATAATTTTGTTTCCTGGAAATTACTCAGCTATTAAATAAAAATGTATCTCTTTGCCATCAACTTTATAAATAGGGAGGTGGAAACACACCTTGAAATCCTTATTCCTTAAAACAAGACAGACATACCCGACACAACACTGAGGCCTGGAGTGCTGGGGCGGGAACTGACCTCCCTGACATCCGTATCATCAGATGTGCTACCCAGTCCAGAACAGCTCTCCAGTTCCTGCAGGCGCTCCTCCTGCTTTAGATCTGGGGCCTCTAGACAGAAGAGGTGAGGTGTCACATTAGTGATTCTGTTAGAATGCCACAGTTTCAGCTTTTGTGACCCAGAGGAAGAAAGCTACCAGGGCATGAATGAAATCTGTGTAAATGGATTTCTAAGTCTGGGCCAGTTAGCAAAGTTAGTTAGATCAAGTGTTAACTCAAGGGCATGATTTTCATCCCAATAGAGGTCAGTTTGTTGTAAAGATGAAAACTCTGCTTCCAAATCACTAAACTCACAGGGTACGCTGTTGGTTAACAAGCACACTGAACAAGAGAATACAGAATAGCTTAGCATGAAATCAATCACTTTCTAAAAAATAACTCCTACAGATGTGCAATCAACAGTGAGCTAATCCTACTCTCTCCTTACATCAAGGTTAGCGTGTCTGAACACGTTAACAATATAAAACATGTATCAGGATCACTTAACTATTCTTGAGTCAAGTAGATCAGATAAAATGCATTTCAGACATATAGTTACTTATATTTGCACTCTGGTAGTTGAGATTTAGTTGAAGGCAAAGATTTATCTTTATGATCAGAAAAAAAAAGAACGGCAATACACAAGACAAAGTACAAAACACTTTACGTATATTTATAATCTGCAAAAAATAATTCTCAGGACTCCAGAGTCTCAATCTCAATGCATTTCAAACATACATGAGATATCTTTTAAAGAGTCAGGTTCTCCACCGGGCTAAATCTAAACACGCTTGACCAGGCATCCAACTACTCAGGGTTCGAGTTGTGTTGCTATTGCTATTTTACGATGAGTTAGTGAGAGATACTGATCTTAGAAGATGCTGAATATCCCACACTGAAGCCTGATGAGTTACTAACAATTGCTTCCAAAATAACTGAACAGAGTCAGAAAGCACCTGCCATCTTAGCCTACACCATCCAACAGTGCATTTTTTTCTTGATGGACAGAAAATCCCCTAATTTTCCATTTGAAATTCCTAGCAGTGTGATTGCTTTGTGCTTGTCAAATGTGTATTTGACAAAATGTACACAAGAGAGAAATTTGGATACCTTACATTTACAACTTCTGTGCAAATCAAAAAGCAAACAATGACACCATACTAACCTGAGTCACTTGGCAATACCTCTACACTCCAAGCTTCGCTTGTCGTCTCTGATATGGTAGAACCAGTGCAGGGGTCAAGCAGTACTGACCCTGAACCTGGCAGGCACAGTAAACTGCCTAACATGTTCTCTGCTGCTGCACCTGTATAACCAGCGGGGAGCAAAAGGTTAACAAAGGTCCTGATGGAAAGGAGCAGTGATAATGGAGAAAGGCCAGACACTAGGCTAACAAAATCTCTCTAGTCTACCCACAAGAAAGCAGCCAAGGTAAAAGTAATTCCAATCAATAACACCACTAAAAACACAATTTCCCACTTTGATCATAACAGCACAAGCTCCTTTTCATCAGTTTCTTCCTGTTCACCTTGGACTCGCCATAGACAAAACACACATCATTAGGTCAAGTCATTTCAATTAGCTTTCACCTTGGTTTTTTAACAAATTTTACGTGTGTCCCTAGCATCTTGCTAAAATCTGTACTCCTACAGGGATTAAAAACACTCAAACAGAGACATTTAACCACAGAAAGTTATACTGGTCAGATATGTTTTCTTCTGGCACATTAGCCGCATATTCAGAGCAATAAAATATATTTGCAGGAAAATACACACCTCTTTAGCACTCATTCAACTGCAAATACAGCTTATTGCTCAAATACAGCTTACTGCCATGAAAAATACTACTTTGGCATCTGGAACAACTAATGCAAAACCAATTAAGAAATCTATTTACACTACTTAAAAATACAAATAGAGAGGATTAAACATTATTGTACACCTGTGTTAAAAATACTCAAGTTTAGAACGCTCCACTACTTCTGATCAAACCTAATACAAGAACAATTCTACTTCAGTACGTGAAAAATTTTTTGGAAAAAAGTTCCTGGTAAAAGTTACCTTTTAAAGATATGTCATGAAATAACAAATAAAATGATGTCTCACACTTGCCACAACAGAATGGGGACAGGGGATAAAAACGGTGAGGGTGGGAGCAGAGATGAAACCAAACTTGCCCTGTGTGTACATATAACTGTTGAAGCTGAAGGACGGGCAAACGGAGGTCATTATACTATTCTCTCTTGTATTTGTTTGAAATATTTCATGATTTAAAAAGAAAACGAAGATGGTAGTTGAACTCTGAGAACTCACAGAACAGTATCCCAAAAAGGGTGAATTTTAATATATATAAATTGTACCTCAGTAAGCTTGACATAAAAAAAACCCAAAAAACTGGGGGCCAGCCTGGTGGCACAATGGTTAAGTGTGTACGTTCCACTCCGGAGCCTGGGGTTCGCCAGTTCGGATCCTGGGTGTGGACATGGCACCACTTAGCACACCATGCTGTGGTAGGCATCCCACATATAAAAATGTAGAGGAAGATGGGCATGGACGTTAGCTCAGAGCCAGTCTTCCTCAGCAAAAAGAGGAGGATTGGCAGCAGTTAGCTCAGGGCTAATCTTCCTCAAAAACAAAAAAACAAAAAAAGTGGTTACCTTTGGAACTGAATTAATCCTTTTAGAAGTAAACTCAAGTTTTAGAGAATCTCAGTATTGATATTATTCAGAAAGATTTTATGGCTATAATCTGTAAGAATTTTCATCTTAAGATAAGCTGTTTAGTCTCAAAAGAATATCCTAATCACAGACTAACAACATACACTCTGCCCTGCAAACAAGACTGGCAAGAAGGTAATTCAAAAGATTGGTTTTTCTTTCTCTGGGAGGGGGAAGGGGGAGTTAAATGTAAACAGGGAAACTGCTACCTATATTTAAGTAAAGAAAAAAAATACACAAATGCCTTGTTACATAAAGTTATCTCAGTTTCCTAGTTGACGCTAACATATACACCATGCTCGTCAGAGCACTGAGGTTTCCTCCCATGAAGGGCGGGTGGATATGAAGAACTAAACAGCAATATTCCAGAGACATCAAATAGCAGTTACCCGCAATTTCCTGCAAGCGATCTTCATCAATGTTGGGGTCAAAGTCACTTCCCAAGACATCTGTACTCCAGGTCTCACTCACTGTTTCTGATATGTCCCTATCATCTGTCAGTCCCATCATGTCACGAATTTCAAACTTCCTTAGCTTATCGTCGAGATTATCTTGTGTTGTAGCTATCAAAAACAAAATTAAGCACTTAAAAACTGGTAGCACAGCTTTGACTTTTTAATCAACCTTAAAGAACATTATGTCTTTGAACTTTAAATTACATATTTTACCATTAACACTGAGCACATAGTACCAAAACACTGAACTATTCTCTTACGATGTACTCTTTCGCTCTCTGAACTGAGCAAGTAGATTAACTAGGGCCATGGATACAATCATTTGTCATCCTGTGTTGACATCCTCCACAGTGTAAGTCTGATCAAGAATTGGGATCATATTCCCCTCTCTTTGAATTTTCACAGGCCTTGTCACTTGCTTTGGCCAAAAGGATAAGGAAGAAGCGTGCCAGTTGCAAGGCTAGGCCTCAAGAGACCTTATTAACTTCTGCTCTCTCTAACCCTTGCTCCTCTCACGAGAACAAGCTTAAGTTAGCCTGATAGAGGATGAGGGACCACACGGAACAAAGCAAAGGTCATCCCAGACCAGCCAATTCCCTCTGACCAACTGACCCCCAGCTACGATTAGCAGAGCTCCGTACTCCACCACTGGTGACCTTAGATACATGAGTGAGCCCAGTCCAAACCAGAAGAACCACCGAGCTGACCCAGAGACTTGAGAGCAAAGATAAATGTTCAGTGTTTTAAGTCACTGAGTTCTGGGGTGATTTGTTATGTAGCATTATTGTGGCAATAATTAACTGACAAACCAATACTAAAAAAAAATTTTTTTTTTCTGCTTGACTTGGATACATCCTCCCAATTCTAGAGTATTCTCTTCCCTTGACCAATGAGAAGCAGTCTGCAATTTACCTGAACTCACTTCCTAACCAAGTGTTCACAAAGCCTGGACTGCCAACCACCTACATGAGAATCACCTAGAGGGTTCGTTAAGGAAGTGATATTCTTTCAACTTCTGTCTTAAGTTAATATTACTTTAGGTTTCTGTTATTTGGAGAAAATTTAATCCTAATTAATACAACGACAAACTGATCCAGTAAAATACAGCATTACTTTTATTCAAGCCACACATACCCCAACTGGCATAACTCGCTTCCTTTCTAAAAATGGACTGAACCAGATTTCTAGAAATGAGATAGGGAAAATGGCTTTTTAAAAAAAAAAAAACTCACCAGATAATTTTTATGCGCACTAAAGTCTAAGAATCACTGCCTCAAACCCAGTCGAGAGTATCTGCCCTCAACACTCCCTTGAGGCCCACCAGTGATCTTTAAAAGAACAATCCAAAGAACTTTTTCAAACTAAGCTTCCTAAAGCACAACGGGGATCCAGCTACTATTCGATCCTTACCTCACACTATTCCCCTACCTGCTAGTTTCTGAGTAAGTACTAGGTTCCCACCTCTCTGACTTGCTTACACTATTCCTTCCCCTAAAGTGGCCTGTCTCCAGTTTCTGCCAATGCAACCCGAGCCAGGCTTTAAGGCTAGTATTTTCTGCCACTAAGCTCTTCTCTACACTTTCAACCACACCTATGTCTCACTCAGAACTGCCAAAGCACTTTTATGATATTTTTAATCATTTGTGTACCATTCCCTTCCTATTCTAAGTGACTTGAGCCCTGACTATTTATCTTTGTATCCCTTAAAATTTTAATATTACTGAATTAAAATACCAAATACTACAGAATTCAAGAAATTCATTTTAATTGTTCTATGTAATTTAAGCCTAAACAATTCACTTACCAACTAAACATATTTTTAAGAGCTAAAGGAACTCTGAATAAACGCAAACTTAATGGTCATTATATAATCAACTAAAACAACTTCTCTTACTGAACACAGCCAACTTACATGGGAACACACTGCTCATCCTGCAACAGGTAAACTCTATGCTACTTGAGCAGTTGTGTCCCACCTCACTTTACCTTGCTCATGCTCTAAGAGTTGTAGAGCTTCAACTCCATTACTCCCAGAAGGTCCCGCTCCAAGTTCTGATACAGACTCTCCTTCCAGGTCTAGAGAGGATACTGAATTAGAGCGATTTGAAGGACCTAGACAAATGTTTACACTGTGAGTGAGCTTTTTAAAACTGTCATGAGCCACCATGCAATTTTTCATGCCTTATTAGAGACTAAAGGCTGATTAAAGTGCTTTTATACTGCATTTACACCTTAAAAATATACATGCCCTTTAAGCCAGCAATTCTGCTTCTAGGAATTTATCCTAAGGAACTAATCAAAAATTCATCTAGGTTGCTTGTTGCAGGGCTTCTTATAATGTCTGAAAAGTAGACGCAATCTACACGCTTCATCATAAAAGAATGTTTAAATAAATGATATGCCCATTTGAAGTTAAAGAAAACAGCCATTAAAATCCATGTTATTTAAGAATGCTAAACTACAAAGGGAAATGTTACCATTACACTGTCAACAAAAAAGGTTACAGAACAGAATAAACCTAATTTTGCTACAAATAAACCAAAATGTTATTACAAAATGGTGAAATTATAGATGATTCAACTTCTTTGCTGCATTTTCTAGAATGAACATATATTACTTATGTTTTGAAGTTAGAAAAAAGGAAAAGTTATTACATTTGATGTTTATTTTAAAATGTTAGTAAACTTGAACTTTTTTCATTAACAAGTTATCCTAGTACATGGAATGACAAATTCTCTCTTTACAATCTTGGCTTTTAATTTTCTTTTTTACTCCTATTTTCACTGTATCTTTCTACTTCATAAAGGTGTAAGTGTGTGAATAAAGAAATACAGAACACTAAAAGTACACACAACATCCTGAAATACTAGTGAATCCATTTTTTTCCATTTAGACATGCATTATATCCCTCTAAAGGAGCTCTACAAGCTTTGGTATATATCAATAGCAGAGAAGCGAAACTTCTTATTCAAGTCTCAAGAAAGACATATCTTCCCCATTTTATATGACCAAAGGTCTCTTGCAATCTTAATTTTATTCAAGAAACAATCTTTACAGCCAAATCTTCTAGATCATTACAGGAAAACTTCATTACTCTCCTCAGTGAGTGGCACAGATGGTATAATTATAATTTAGAAGGCTCCTTTAAAGAACACAAAACAAAACATTACTTGAATCACACAACTCCTTGAATGAAGTAACCCTTCACCTTCAGATATTCCTTCCAGATTATCACTGCAGAGGGAAAAGCGCAAGGTTTTATCAGGTTTACCGTGGAGTTTGTTTTCATCAACAGGGACATCTCCTTGTCCTCCATCCGAAAGTTGCATGTTTAGGACCTGAAAAATAAAACGCCATGGGTTTACCACAACTGAAAGATTATTGCTAAGAAAACAAACCACAGCAAATGCATATTTAAGTTCTTCTTAATCTTAAATTATCATTTTTAACTAAAAACCCATTTACAAGGTTCTGATCAAGTTTTAAGTACCCCCGGAATGAAAGTCTATCAGTTAAAAGAACTCAGCCTACGCCTTTCCATCACCCTACCAGGGTCAGAGCCTGAGCAGACAACCAGACCTGAGACGAGCAGTGCAGTTAGGACTGCAGGAGTCAGAAGGCTCTGGAGTCAGCAGGCTGCTCCTTCTGGTTCGGCCATCAGCAATGCTGTAACCTTGGATAAGTTATTTACGCTCCCTAAGCCTCAGTCTCTTCATCTATAAAATGGTGACGTAACAGTATGTATGCCACAGAGTTGGGTGAGGATTAAGCAAAAAGATGCATTCGGCATGGTAAAATGACACAGTAAATTTGCAGTACATTTTTTCAGAAGTTAATAAACTAATTCAACAGGAAGAAGACATGTAAACAAATTATCTTGTAGGTACCAGAAGTTAACCAGTCTAGTTTGAACCTCCATTGATCACCATCCACACAGCCACAGGAGTCCATACCAGGAGCAGAAGTGTGACTTCACAGCCATATCTAGCTTAGAGCTGATGGCCTTTTTATAATGTTTTCTATTTGTTAGGTGATTTCAAAACAACATATTTACTTCTCACTCCCCACAAGCCTCATAACCTAGCTTTGTATGTTTATCTCCAACTTCAGGAAGAATCGAGTGCTTTGCTGGAAATCACACAGCATGTTTTAAGCACACATAAGGAACATCAACTCACAGCTGTTGAGTTCCTAAGCCGTGGCTGGAACGTAAAGGAAGAATAGTATCCTCACTTAGAATGGAAAAAGAAAAAAAACAAACTCCTCTAGGTGCTGTTTTGACCCTGCATCTGAGTAAATTAAAGGCTTTTTAATGATTCTACATATTTACTCATGTGATGCTTTTAAAAGGTCATTTAAAAATAGAATTTTTTTCCTATTTGCTTGAAATTAAATGCAGACATAAAAATTTTACATTTTGTATTTTTAAGATAACTTGGACCTTTAAATTCATCATAGTGAGTGATGTGCAACGAAACTTCAGGAAAAATCCATCTAAAGGCCTAGAGAGCAGGATGAATTAACAGAAAACAAGAGGACCCTGTCACAATGAAGATGTTTCCCTGCACAGAGATGCAGGCTGCCATCTTCCAGGCTGCCACTGAGCTCGGGGTTGGTGGAAGGTAACAGGGTAAGGCAAAATGTGACACAGCTCTCTGACTAAAATTCAGCACTTTTTTTACTCATTAAGCATTTCCCTGGTTGTTATAAATTTTTGACTACCTTCCAAAGTACCTAAAAAGTTGATTCTGACAATTTTTGCCAGTTTATCCATTTTTGTATGTGTGTGGAGGGACAGGTTTTTGGAGGTTGACAGTCCTCCTTCCTACAAGTCACACCGCAGTCCCAAACCTACCTTTACCAACATCATCATCACTTTAGCACCCCCTCTAACTGGTCCCCTCTTCCCGTCCAGGAGCAGGTTTTCCTGCATAATTGTTGAACATAAGATGCTGCTTTTTTCTTCAGGAGGTCACAATCTATGAGAAGAAGCTCCTACCTTTAGAATCAAGATTTCTTTCCTTTTGCCTCTGTCTCAAGCCCTTCTGCTTACAAATATCTTAAAGTTGATTCCCATACCCTCAACCCCATTTCTTCAAAATATTTTACTTTCTTAATTTTCTTTTCAGTTTTCACTTTGATTTCTTCCGAACTGACTAAAGAACAGAAAATATTTCTAAAGAATTTTTGGCCCTTTAAAGAAGGAATACCACTAGTATATTATTAGAAAGAAAAGAAACATAAGACATTTCCTACAGGTCACTGGAAAAATCTTTTTAATTTCCATACTGCAATTTCCTGGCTACCTGTGTCACCTACGAATATGAGGAAATTCCTTTTGGTCTGGACTTGGTCACCAACTATGGTGCCATAGCCATAGATACATTAATGAGAAGGGTCTCCAGAACTGTTCGCAGGGAGGTGAGCATTTGATGGAGTGCTATGGTAGACCCACTGAAGGTAATGAACAACATTCATTAAATGTACATTGATTTATAGAAGCAACCATTAATTGGAAGAAAAAAATCTAAATTTCTTAACATTGATGACCATAAGTTAAATGTAACAGCACATTCGTACCTCATTTTCTGACATCATCCCTGGAGTTAGCTGGGGACCCGTCCCTAAGGAAATGACCAACACCTCTTCTGGCTGTACCTCCTGGATGGTTTCTTGAGACGATCCTTCATGGTCCATATGTAAGTCCATTAGCACATTGGTGCGATTTCTGCTCCGAGTTGCTAAAAAAAAAATTTCAAATAAGATCATTTAGAGAAAAAGAAAAAATGAAGAAAATAGCACACTAAATACAAAAATATATTTTCTATTAATGTAGAACATTTGCACATGCACAAAAAAAGACTAGGGAGAATATGAGTAAGGAAAAAAACCCTACATCTTCCCAGTTAATCTACTGATGACTAATGCAGATTCTCTTTCAAAAGTGATAATCAGAAACGACGATCCATGTTCACCTGACAGGGAGTGACACACGGATGATCACACCTGCAGAACAGCAGACGCATACCAATCAATTCAAGACTAGAGGTGACAAGAAAGGATTACCTTATTTCTTATCTTTCCAAGATGGCTTCAACTATTTCTCCTATGAAATGATTTAATTGCCACAGATCTCCCATACTAATAACTTATAGGCATTAGAAAACTTCACATAGAAATCTAATAGCCATATAAAGTAATATACCTTAACTAGGCAACTGATGACAAAACCAGAATCAGTTTTTGAAAACACATTGTTTTTCCTGAAATGTACTTTTTTTTAAAGATTTTATTTTTCCTTTTTCTCCCAGAGCCCCCTGGTACATAGTGTGTATTTTTAGTTGTGGGTCCTTCTAGTTGTGGCATGTGGGACGCCACCTCAGCATGGCGTGATAAGAGGTGCCATGTTCACGCCCAGGATTCGAACTGGTGAAACCCTGGGTCACTGAAGCGGAGCACATGAACTTAACCGCTCGGCCATGGGGCCAGCCCCTTTCCTGAAATGTATTAAACTCTTTCCAAAAACACAAGAGAGAAGATTTGACTATATTTGAATAAGTTTCCTTTCTGCTTTATGGAAATATTCTAAACTAATAAAAGATGTAATTATTTTGGGGTGTTTTTTCCCCCTACCTATAAGTAAACAAGTGATACTTTTTTCTAAAATAACTCATCCTGTAGACCTTATAAGAACTTTTGGACACTGAAAGATTTAGATAGTTTGTGACAATTTATGAGTTTTAATCTGTGATGAGTTTCAATTTTCTTTCAGAGGGCAATGAAATTCAATACAATCAGAATACCATATAGAAATTTTCTTTCAGTGCAAAACAACCAAAAGGACAAACATAAAGCAAAAACCCTCTACAGTAACAGGAGTCTTTCAGCTTCACTTTGAGTGAACACTGACCCACCTGAAGACAGAAAAACACACACTCATCCCCCCCACAGTGCTGCGCATCTGTCATTAATCACTCTTTCTCTCAAACTTCAGAGTGCACATCAGCTTCCAGAAGTCAGAACAGGGTCCCTCACACCTTTATTTGCTCACCCTCACTATCTTGTACTGAATTGTGAACTTAAACTCAACTTCATGAACCTTAAGTAACTAACTTTACAATTTATAAAAACGCAAGTAATCAAAATTCATGTAGCAATTTACATAAAGCAAAAGCAACATGCACATGGAGCACACTTTTATAAACTATTTCTTAAATAAAAGTTATACAGGAAGAGGAAGAACAGCCTAGTACCCACCAAATGGGGTTACTAGAGTAACATGAGTGGTAAGATTCGTGGCTGAGGAACCCCAGGCAGTGATGGCTGCTAACTGTTGTCCTGGGTTGCGAAAGCATTAAACAGAAAGAAAATCAACCCTCTGAATAATGGACACATTTTTAAAAATATGAAACAAATTCAATGACCAGGTCATATGACTATACAAACATTTGAAATTTACTTTCCATCACACCCATATTTAATGACACTTCTGGATGACAAGAAATGAAAGAAGTAATGTACAGGAGCGAATAATGCAGGAAAAAAATCTCTGATTTACCAAAAACCCACTGCTTTCTTCATGTTAACAAAGTGCAAATAACCTAAAATGTTAGAAATCACTGAGTGTCAAACTTCGTTTTTTTTCTAATTCTGAAAATTGGCATTTGGGTATGATGAAAGCCAAACACTTAAAGAATATGATGCCATGCTCCTGTCATTGATATTACTCCATATTCTGCTAAAGGGAAAGTAGATAAATCTGGGGCCAGCCCAGTGGCATAGTGGTTAAGTTCAGCACGCTCCGCTTTGACAGCCCAGGGCTCCCAGGTTCAGATCCCAGGGGCAGACCTGCACTCCATTCATCAAGCCTTGCTGTGGCAGGCAACCCACATACAAAATAGAGGAAGACTGGCACAGATGTTAGCTCAGCAACAATCTTCCTCAAGCAAAAAGAGGACTGGCAACAGATGTTAGCTCAGGGCCAATCTTCCTCACCAAAAGTAAAAATAAAAATAAAATAAAGTAGATTAATTTTAAGAAACTGACAGTTCTAAGCAAATTAGCTCATGGAAGTTTAAAAATGAAATCCCATTCTTCAAAATGTATAAAATACAATAACCATTCATGTTCACTAACTATTGCAGAGCTCCTTATTATCATTAAAAAATTGGCACTAAAACACTTTGTTCCCTTGGCCTAAACATTCTTTCCCTATCTTATTTACTTTTTCTAACTCCCATTCATCCTTCAAAAGAAAGTACAGGCTTCACCTGCTCCAGGATCTTCTGATACCATCACTCCCCGGGGCTAAGTTAGGCTTCCCACAACCTTCTGTGCTTATCTTCAGCAGACACTTAGTGTGCTGAAGGTTTAATGGTCTCTTCTTGCTCCCCCCAACTAGACTATCAGCAACTAACTTGAGAGTGAGGGCATGTCCTAATGGTCTCTGTATCTCTAGTGGCTAACACAGTGCCCCACCTGCAGGAGAGTGATTACACTTACTCTTTTTGCGTGGATTAAATGAAACAACATTTATGAAGTGCTTACCTAGCGTTTGGTACATGGTATATGCTCAATTAATTTTTTTTGCACATATATACATATATACATATAGAGAGAGAGATAATGGGTGTTTTCTAAGTGAACACAGCTTAATTAAACCTAATTCATAAATAAATGAATAAACAAAATAAAATGAAACTTTTGATTTATTTTGTAAAATAACAAAGATAGCTCAGTTGATAAAAGGCCAATTATTAATAATAATGTAAAAATGGTAAATATGTTTTGCAACTTTACTGATAAACTTCTAAAATAATTTTTTTCTTTTTTGTTGAGGAAGATTAGCCCTGAGCTAACATCTGCCACCAATCCTCCTCTTTTTTTGCTGAGGAAGATTGGTCTTGAGCTACCAGCTGTGCCCATCTTCCTCTATTTTATATGTGGGATGCCTGCCACAGCATGACTTGATAAGCAGTGCATAGGTCTGTGCCCAGGATCCAAACCTGCAAACCCCAGGCCACCAAAGTGGAGCATGCAAATTTAACCACTACACCACCAGACTGGCTCTTAAAACGATATTATTTTATTACATTATTTAGAACTTTGTAGAAAGGACAGGGCTATATAATTCGAAGAATGACTACTTATAACAACTCTTCTAAAATTTTCCAAGAAAAGATACTAAAATATAAACAAAGAATATTGTAGGTGGCATGACTTCAATTACTTAGGAAAAGTATGTCTAGGTAAAGCTAAGGCCTACTGATAAACCTTAATTAATCTGGTGCAATTTTTAAAAAACTGAATTACTATCAGTAAACATGAAGGAAAGGTTTTTCCAAATTATTTAAAACTATATTCCCAACACGGAGCAATAACAAAGGCTACAAAAGGACTATTAAGTTTAACGGAAAGCTCTAACACGAGAAAGCCTCTTTACCTATCGGCAATCGGTTCTTTTTATTTGCTGGAGTGGTTGCTGGAGACAGCTGAGGAGTATTGTAGGGAGTCATCTCCAAACTGCTGCTTTTGCCTGGCTTTGCCTGCGGGAGGTTTGCCAATAAATTGTCAAGAGCCATTCTATCTTCTCTCAGTTGATCTCCAGACATCACACTCTTCATAAAATTCACCTGGCAAAAGTAAAAGGACATTCCCTACTGAAATCAATTTTTCAAACATAATATACACACAACGTACTCATCTATGACTCTGTCTGTGCTTAGATAAATGACTTTTGAGAAAATCCTATTAAAGAATAAAGCCATTACCAGAGTAATAAGCTGACTGTAGGTGATATAAACCACAGTTCTGCTCAACCCTTCCAGAAGATTAACGGAGGACATTGGCGGCGTCTCCACTGCACGGCCCCCAATCACAACATCAAGGAAAGCGGCAACACAGCTCTGTTAAAACAAGAAAAGATCACTGAAATACCTCCCCTTCACAATAAGGGAACAAAATTTCTGATTAAGGTGGACAAGCATGCAAAAAGTTTTTCTTCTTGAAAATTATATTAAACCAAATATTTACGAAAATTAAACTCTTTATGAATTGATAAAGAATAATCTCCAAGGTATTCTGGTAAGTGAAACAAACGATGCAGAACAGTGCACACACTATCCGACCATTTGTGAAAAGGGAGGGATGGGTGACTGGGAAGACATAAGCAGGAATTCGCCTGTATACACACAGACCTCTTGAAGGATGCACAAAAGATTGATAACATCAAAAACCTTTGGGGGAGGAAACGAAGGCTAGAGATCAGAAGGCGAGGGGAAATTTCACTGTATAACCTCTGAATTTTAACCTAGATTGAATGTACAGCCTACTCAAACATGACTAAAGTTTTATTTAATTAAACTAACAGAACAATGCCATAGATATTAACTTATGAAGTATACTTAAAATTATGAGTATTGCTGATTTGACTTAGCAACAATTTTTTTAATTAAACTTTTTAAAATAAAATAATCTTAATAGCTCTTTGGTTCTCGTTACAATGGCATCTCCTCAACACTTCTTTAAGTGAGAATTAGTAATCTTTAGTGACAGCTTCCTTAATGCTACTGATCCAACACTGTATCCTCTACAGCTATACCAAGGGTAATTAAAAAGAATATTTAATTTGTACATCACCAAAGGTCAAGATTGAATAAAGAGAATAGTTTCGCTAATACTTTGGCAGAATTTTTTATAAACCGTATTTCACACGACATAGTATTCATTCTTACTTTGTCAAATTTTCCAAGGCTGCTCTTTGTCCGGGGATCTCCCTCTTCAGACCCAGTCATTGCTAACTGCTGTAAGAGGCGGCCGACCTGCAACCAAAGCAGCGGTAGGGAGACACAGGCTATAGGTACTCAACAATTCCTCTCTATGGAAGCTCTTCCATTCTGCGCTAAACTCCTACTTCATAACAACATTCGCACCACCTGACCAGGCACACAAAATAGGGTCCCAAATAAAATGTGGATCTTGTCTATGTCAGCTTTTACTATATTTAGGTCAAGAGTTACAGAGAATAGGGGCCGGCTGGGTGGCACAGCGGTTAAGTTCGCACGTTCTGCTTCTCAGCAGCCTGGGATTTGCCGGTTCGAATCCCGGGTACGGACATGGCACTGCTTGGCACACCATGCTGTGGTAGGCGTCCCACACACAAAGCAGAGGAAGATGGGTCTGGATGTTAGCTCAGGGCCAGGCTTCCTCAGCAAAAAAGAGGAGGACTGGCAGTAGTTAGCTCAGGGCTAATCTTCCTCAAATGAAAAAAAAAAAAAGAGTTACAGAGAATAAGTAGAAAATTCTCCTTTAATTTCTCTTTAATACATATTATATCAACATTAGGAATAAAAGTACAATACCTTTGTTTCTGATATTATACTTTTCATGCGTTTAGAAATTTCAAAATTAACGTGTAAAAACTGCCTCAAACTATTTCAAGTTAATATTAAGTACGTATCCCGACATAGTTCACAAAGTACTCAAGGTAGAATGTTTTTTTCCCTACATTTAAAAGCAAACAATTCATATGGAATATAAGCTATTTAAAAAGTAAATATTAATATATGGAGCAAATTCCTTACTGCCAAAAGTGAAATGTTAATTCACCCTCCTTAAAGACACTTTGCTGAAAGTTAACATCCTATGGCATCATCTTCTAAATATCTGGGACAATCCCCCATTTTACTCATTTTGAATATAAGTGATGCAATCTCTATTGGAATGAAAAGAATAAAAACTATAACTACATTATCATAAGAATAAATTTAGTGCCTCACAGATGATAAAAAATTTTTAACTTTATTTCAAGGATTTCTATATAGCTAATTGCTAAACATCCCAATGTGATAGAATTCACCATGAAAAAAAGCTTATCATTAAAAAAAAAATCATCCAAAGATATATTCTATTCCAAATAAAGCCAGTCTCTTTTTTACAGTATATGTGGGGGATAAAATACAATTAAAGATTTCCTTAAGAAACAAGAACATGATTTCAGCAGTTCAGATGATTGGGGGGGGGGAGCATTACTATAGATCCAAAAGTCCTCTTTTTGAAACTCTTAGGTCCAGAAGAGTTTTAGATTTCAAAATATGGAGATTTTAGAAAATTTGGTTAGCGAATACATGTACATGTCCAGTATGTAGGGTGGCACCCTGTAATCAAACACATTAATATTTCTGCAGCAAAACATGAGTATTCATTAGCACTAAATGGGGACTGACAATTATCAATAGCCTCATTATAGTTCAGGTTAGGTTTTGCTACCAAATGAAGTATTAAAGACACTCTCAGTTTTCAATCATTCTGGATTTTGAAATTATGGAAAAGGAAGGGTAGACTTGCTCTAGAAAATCGAATCAACATTCAAGTTTGTGAGGAATCCATTTAAAAACCAACACAAAATATGACTACAAGGTTTTTAAATCCCAATATGACTGCTTTCATTTCTTAAGAAGCAAATATTTAGGACAGTTTGAGGAAAAGAAACGGCTGTCCTATTTTCTGTTCCCAGCCCCACTGCCCAATCAACTGCTTTTAAATTGAATGCCACATTAATAATAATACCAAAGCATACCTGCATCAGATTAAATCTTGCCACCTCATTAATAGGAGCATCAGAAATTATTCCATACTGTTCTGGATTGACAACTGCGGGACAAATGAAGCAAGCCAATAGGAGATCAGTACACATTGCCCTGACCTCCCCAACTTCCAGTCTGTCTACACAGGAGAGGGTTTTGTACATCTGTGACACAATCCACCTCAAACTGTGTGGGAAGCAGTACGTGTTCTGTTTGAGATAACCAATGAATTTGTTCACCAAGGCCACCAGTTTGGCCTCGTTGGAATCCACCATCTCTTGGACCTTTTGCCTGAATCTATCTGAGCCTTTCTCCCCGAAGAGTTTTTCCTGCTGAGATGGGGAGAACCTCTCAATTAGCTTGTTTGGATCTGTTTCCAGGTGATCTTCATCTTCAACAAGCAGTTGCATGATTGGCTCATGTAAAGTAGCTGTGAGGAAAAGTTTGGCAGAAAACAGTCCTTCAGAAAAAAGTTTGAATAAGATGCTGAAGGCACAAGTTCCTCTCCTCAAAAGTCGCCTGGGGTTGTCACTTTCTTTAAGTTCAAATTCAATCAAGTATCTCAAAACCTGAAGGAGGTAGCTTTCATCTTCTTGCATAATGCAGTTGCCATAGAGGGAGGTAAAAACTGTGTAAATAACACTTTGTGTGTTCTCCTGATTAAGTTTCTCTCCAGCAACCAAAGAGGAGGCAATAAGACGAGGATTTTCCCTTAATCGACTCAAGAATTCTCCATAAGCAGTCTCCTGAAACCCCAAATGCTTATATCCATCAACAAACTGTGTATCTTCCAAAATCTTGGCATGTTGGCAACATTCAGCAGGAGAAGCTTCAGCACTAAAAAAATAAGCAAACAAGCAAAATAATAAAATTAACAATAATATAACAAATATACTAAAACATGGAAATATGAGTTGATTATGGTCCCAAGCAATGCGATCACTCTGAATCTTTTAGACCACCAGCATCTGAATGGGTAAAGAAAGACAAACCCAAAAAGTACAAAGGAGGACAAATTCCTCATATTAAATCAGGTTCGATGAAAAGTATCAAGAAGTAACCATTATTCTGATTCTATCATCAAAGATTAGTCCTGCCTCTTTTTGAACTTCATATAAACGGAATCACATATGAACTCTTCTGTGTCTGGCTTCTTTTCTCAACATCATACATCACACCACTATTTCTAGAGTTAAAAACTACTTCTTGGAACAATGAGGTATTAACACAGTGAAAACTGAGGTTTCTAAAACTGAAAAGTAGATACACAACAGTAAAACTTAGAAATGCATATATTAAATATTGGGAGAAAAGTAGAACACAAAACAATTTCTTCTCTATAACAATATAAAATTAGGGGCCAGCTCCGTGGCCGAGTGATTAAGTTCCCGCGTTCCGCTGCAGCGGCCCAGGGTTCGGATCCTGGGCGCGGACATGGCACCGCTCATCAGGCCACGTTGAGGCAGCATCCCATATCCCACAACTAGAAGGACCTGCAACTAAGATATACAACTGTGTACAGGGGGGAGTTGGGGATATAAAGCAGAAAATAACAAACAAACAAAAAAGATTGGCAACAGTTGTTAACCCAGGTGCCAATCTTTTAAAAAAAAAAATATATATATATAAAATTATATATACAAAGATACAAATCAACTGGTGTGGAATAAAATATTAATGCTTAAGTTAATAAAATAAGCACAGACTTATCTTGATACTGATTTAAACTAACTTAAACCACACACTTTGTTGGATATATATTCATTTATTTACAGTTGGCAGTCAGTACAGAATTATAATGTTCACAAAATTTAAGACCTCAAAACCTTTTCTTTACCTGGTTATGATAAGCCGATCCAAATTAATTCTCTGTTGCTTAGCAATCCATGCTGTACGATACAACTTCTCAGCTGTCTTAAGCACATCTGCATTGAGCCTCTGAATGAGCTGTTTCTCAGAGTTTACATACAAGCGTTCCTGCTTAAGGTGATGGGCCAGAGTATGAATATCCAGCTTCACCATCTTCAAATGTGGGAAAAGTACAAAGGCTAAGAGTAAAAAGACAAATTGGAAAATTTTATGTCACTTAAATTGTTTTCCAAAATCAAAAGGGAGAGAACGCTTTAAGAATTAGGCTACATTTAGTACCGTGGTTAACTCTAATTTAAATAATCTCTATTTTTTTTATTACAGAAGCATTACAGGTTCAGTCGAGAAAAACTGGTAAATAGTGAAAAGCAAAAAGATAAAAAGAAAAGCTCCTAACAAGGCGACTGCTCAGAGACAGCCACTGTAAAATCCTTGTGTATGTCCTTCCAGTCCAGCTCTATTCAACACTGGAGTTTCCGCGACTGCTCTCTTCACAGTGCAAACAATCAACATATCCTGTTGACTCTACCTTCAAAATACATCTCAAATCTGAGTACTTCTCATCACCTCCCTTCTCTCACGCCTGAAGGTCTATAAGCACCAATTCCTAACTCATCTCCCTGCTTCCTTTCTTGTACCACTAGAGTCTGTCCTCTACAGCATAGAGTATCCTTTAAACTTAAGTCAGATCACTTATTCCCCTCCTAGAAATCATCCAAAGGCTTATTTTACACCTAGAATGAAATCCGAAGGTCCACCATGATCTAGCCCTGGCTACTTCTCCAACCTCATCTCCTGCCATTCTGCTCTTGCTCACACAGCTCCAGACACACTGGCCTTCTTGCTTGAACAGGCCAAGCATGTCCCTTCCTCAAAGCCTCTACATTTGCTGATCCCTGTCTGGAAGGCTATTCCTCCAGATATCTTTACAAGGCTAGTAAACTTCATTTTACTTCATTACTTTACAATAAACTTCCTTTAACTTCATTCAGGTCTCTCTGCTCAAACATCTATTCAGAAAGGCCTCCTCAGACAACTCTTTCTAAAATAGAAACTATCACTTCCTACACCCTCTTGGCCTTTTTTCAAAGCACTTGTCCCTATCTCACATTCTATTACAGATAACAGCTACTTGCATGTTCATCATGCTTAAAGTATGACTCCTCCACTAAAAGATAAGGGCCACCAGGGCCAAGGCTTGTCTGTTCTCTTCACTCAGCGTTAATTTCAGAGCTGAGGAGAGGGCCTAGTTCACAGCAGGAGTTAAATAAATATTTGTCAAATGAATGAATGAAATCACACAATCCTCATTAATCTAGTAGCTAAACAAACTGACACAAATAGCACATAATTTAAAGCATTATTATTTAAGCTGTACCCTTGAACCCAGAATGCCTGCCAGACCACATGTTTCACATCAACAAGAGAAGTGCCTGCGGCCCAGATAACAGAATACAACGCTGTGTCCAGACAGCAGACAGTCATTAAATTAGAAAAATACTTCTAAGAATTAAACATCATGATTGTACACTTGAAGTCGCTATGAGAGTAGAGCTTTAATGTTCTCACCATAACAACAAGAAAATGGTAATTACACGAGGTGAAGGATGTGCTAAGTAATCTTACTGTGATAAACATTTTGCAATATATACATATATCAAATCATCACATTATATGCCTTAAACTTACAAATCTTCTATGTCAATTATATCTCAATAAAACTGGGGGGAAAACGTTGTCCCAAGCAATCAGATTCATAAGTAACTTTAATGGATCTATTTGGAATTGATAAAATACAATTTGTGTGAATTCAGATTCTAAAAAAGATGACAACCTAGACCACAGAACTCTCAGTATGTTTAGAGATCCAATGAAACATTCATTTACATGAAATAAGTACTTCTGGTGCTAAGGCAAAAAAAAAAAAAGAATTACATATTTTTATGGCAGCGGCTGGAAATATATTTAAAACCACCTTATTTAAAAGAAATACATTTAACAACTTTTGTTTGATTTCAGAAATTTTTAAACTTTCTTTTATTTTAATGTACTGATGACTAGGAAAATTTGAGATATTACCATCTAACCTGAATTTAATTGATTTCAAAAAACACTTTCTTGTACCTTATCAATTCCCTAGCAAATTATGCAAAGCTGTTATTCCAAATCTCCTGTATCGTTAAGACCCTCATATTGTTTCCTCTCAAAAGATCTAAGTATGCCTACTTCACCAAGATGATTTGTTATTAAGGCAGTCACAAAAGTATCTGTGTACACTCAAAAAAAAATTGGTGACATACATATATACATATAATTTTATTAACTCAGTCTACAGAAAATGCATACAGTATACAACTTTGTAGACTTCCATGTGGGAACTCTAACATCCCCTTAGTCTAAGAACAAAAGCATTGAACAAATGGTTGTCACAATGAGAAGTACCATAGTTAACAAAAACAGTACTGAAATGAACTCAAAGATCTGTATGCTTCATTAATTAGTTCTGTTACTTTGGGCACAAAATGCATATTCTCTGAACCTGTTTTTTTCATCCATAAAACGTGGACACAATATCTACATTTATTCTGTGCAGGGTACAAGCAACATATTAGGTACTAGGGATATAAGAAAGGATAAAACCTAGTGTGTGTCCTCAAAGACTTTCTAATCTACTAGAATGAGGCAGACATGCAAATGGCTGCCCCAAAATGTTCTGGGTATTATGCTACAAGACTGTAGAGTGTAGAGTAGGGACAAAAGAGACATAATAATTGAGGAGTTAGACACCTGCACCTAGTCCTAAAAGACAAGTATTTGGGGGGCAGGAGGGAGCAGGGAGACAAGTATTTGCCAGATATAAAGAGGATGGTGGGTGGGAGCAGATAGGGGGAGCCAACCAAGCAAAGGCACAGAAGCGTGTAACATAGAGTATATTTAGAGAACTACACATGGTTTGCTCCAGTTTGGGGACATGTGTGTTTGTGTGTGTTAAGAGTAAGGCTGGGGGTAGGGCAGGAGAGTATAAGGAGACACAAGTCTACAGAGACAGAGGCCAGAGTTAAAAAACATGGATTCTGCACTGTAGGCGATGGGATGAGTTTTAAACAGGAGACGAACATAATTAAATCTCTATCTGAGAACATAAACTCTGGCAGTAAGGAAAAGGATGAGCAGGTGGGGATGAAACTAGATGAAGAAAGACTTCGACAGGCAAGAATGATGCAGTGGCAACAGAAAGAACAGAAATTTGAGAGAGGTTAGGAGGTAGAAAACATAAGATTTGTTGACACCTACATATAAGAAGGTGAGGCAGAAGTTTCCAACTCTGGTGACAAGGGTGCGTGTGGCGTTATTCACAATTCAGCATCATATGAGAAAACATTTTATAAACTGAAATTGTGCCTGGTACGGTTCTAAGAACTTTACACACTTAATCTTCATATACTATCATGCAATGAGCTCAAAGCTAGCTATATAATTTCTGGTAATTTATATAATCTTTCTAGAATTCAGTTTTTCAACGGAGAAAAGGGATTAGATGATATGGGTGCTGTCCCTTCCCATAATTAACACTCTATGAGTCTTCCGAAAGATCCAAGTTCCCCCAGCTGGTTCCAGAACATCTTGGTCACCCTGCTCTTTCTCTATGCAACTGCGATTTTCTGTGAGCAGGTGAGCCAGGATAGCAACCAACATGTCAGAGTAATCTGTGCTCTTGGCATAACATCTGCCTTCTTCTAGGCTGGGAGCACAGGATAAAAATAGCTCGCTATTAGAAAAGGTTACAGAATATTCAAGATTATCACGTTCCTCCCAGTCACTCCTTCACACTACATCTCCATAGTGTCCTTCCTGGTCTCTCCTTGCCGCTGCTGAAGCAATCTTCCTAAAGCACGAATCCTGTCATGCTGCTCCCCACTGCCTTCAGGACAACGTCCACAATCTGCTACATGACATCAAGCTCGCAACCACAAAGCCCTCTTTTTACATCTCCTACTTCATCTCCCACCATTTCTCCACTTCCTCCAAATCAGATGTTGCCGCCATACTATATCCTAAAGTCTCCAATTTGCAAATGCTATTATAGACGCCTAGGAGGCCCATATCCTCCTTATTTTCAAGTGAACTCACATTTCCCTTTTAAGGCCCAGCCCCCAAATCTCTCCTCTCTGTGAAACTCTGGAGGAACTGCTCCCTCTCAACAGAGAGCATCCCTTCCTCCCTCATGACACTAAATGACACCAAATCACTCAGTGGGAAAGTTACTCCAATTTCAAGTCTCTTTCAGTCCGTCTACTTACATCACGAAGAACATCTAAGCAGGGTGCCAATTTGTCTTCAACCCTTCTCTAACACTTGATAATCTCTCTTTTTAATTAAGGGATAGCAGGCCTCAAATTCAGCACCTTCTGCAAACAGCAGCTAGCTGGGTTTTACAACACTATTTTGTTTTCATTATATTTAAGTTGTTTTCTATTTAGGGTAAGAGACGTTAGCCTTTCGTTACAGTAGTAACATAAAGCTTCTTTAAAAATATTTTTTGAAGTGTGTCCATAAAAAAAGACATTAAATAAATAATAGTACCAGTGGCATGCATATTTTGGAAAAATCATGTTACTTGAGGATTAAGTATGGGAAACATTTTTATATACTGATGCCTACACCTTGACAGAACTGTCAGTCACTTTTTTTATTATATAGGCACTTTTCTCCATAGCATATATGTAATATATTAACGTGATAGGGCAAAAAACAGACATGACTGCCTTTTTCTAATGACCTGCTACAATTTTAGCTCCTGTATTTTATCATTCAACTAATTCTAATTTGAGAATTTATTTTATTTTATTCTTTATTTTTTTAAAGATTTTATTTTTCCTTTTTCTCCCCAAAGCCCCCTGGTACATAGTTGTGTATTTTTAGTTGTGGGTCCTTCTAGTTGTGGCATGTGGGGTGCCACCTCAGCATGGTTTGATGAGCGGTGTCATGTCCGAGCCCAGGACCTGAACCAGCAAATCCCTGGGCTGCCAAAGTGGAGCATGTGAACTTAACCACTCAGCCACGGGGCCGGCCTGGAGAATTTATTTTAAATTACCCACTACTTTCCAGGGATCAAACCAATCCATACAAGAGAGGGGTGTCCTTGGCAAATTTATTTTATTTATTTTTTTTTGAGAAA